AACAATTAGAAAAATAGTTCTTCTCAAGAACAGAAAAGCTATGTTTAGTCATATTGATATGGAAGCATCCTCAGGTAGTGTAGATTCAAATTTGTTCAAATGATGACCCCTGGGATAGGGAGGAGCCACAATGGGGGATCAAATTTTTACAAAGGAATATATAGGAAATTTTTTTGAACATCTTCTCAAGTACAAGAAAGCCATTTGGTTTATTGACATGGAAGCATCATCAGGTAGTTTAAAATTCAAGCCGCCCCCCCCCCCCCCCCCCAATACGTGGTGGTAATCTTTTCAATACTGAACTCATTTGTGCTTTGCCTAGCCAGTGTGCTCAGGTGAGCGATGTGGCCCATGGGCCTCTTGTATTAAAACCAGGGGAAAATTGTAGGATTTACTAAAATAACATTTTACATTTATAATAATATTAACATTACATTTAAAAATCGAGAGTATGTTATATTTTAAACAATGTAACAATTTTCAAAATCATTTGATAGTTTTTTTTTTTGGACGTGAAGTGTAAATTACAATCAAGACAGACTGTGTTACAGTCTATGCAAAAGTCACTGGACTGTCAGTTTTTACTGGTAAAATTTGGTTAGGGTCAGTAAAAAAATTCAGGATTCAGGACTGATTCTCCGATGAAAAAATAAAGCCTAAAAATCTTAATTTACACGTACATGTGATCTTATTGTCCACACATATCCTTTATTCAATCCATTTATAAGTAATGCATTATTAATATCAATCTATAACAACCCTGTCATGATCGTTTATTTCTAATTCAAATTTCCTCTGTCATGAATATAGATCTCTTAGTTAGCTCATACATGTACATAGATTTGGTTGGGGGAAATTATTTTCATTATTAAACAAGAGTAACCGTTATGAGTTACTTCAGGAAAGAAATAAATATATTTTAAAGTGCATTTTAAGTTTAAAAAAACTTTGGCACTGTGTATTTCATTTGTATGTGTCAAAGAACCAGAAAAAGAGAAAATTGTATGCAATTATTGTATACTATCTTTTAAAAAGGAAAATGATTAATAGTAAGTTTTTTCGTTTCATTTCAATAAAATCATTTTTAGCTCACCTCAACAAAGTTGGGGGAGCTTATGTTATACCCTCTGCGTCGGCGTCCCAGGTTAAAGTTTTTGGAGCAGTTTTCTTTTCAAGTACTTCTATGCTGTATATCAATCAGAGATGCATGGAGGATGCTTCTAGTGTGTTTCATTGTACCAGTCAAGGTTTCAGATGATGCTACAATTTCAGCTAAAGAATGACCAGGTTAATGTTTTTGGAGCAGGTTAAAGTTTTTGGAGCATGTCTCATTTCAAGTAACTTTAGGTCCTATATTGACCAAACTTGTATGGATGATACATCTAAGGATGCACACTACTGAACTTGCTTCGGATGCTGGATCTGAGCTACAGTTTCCGGATGAGTGACCAGGTTAAAGTTTTTGGAGCAGATCTCATTTCCAAGTAACTATAAGCCCTATGTTGACCAAACTTGCATGGATGATACATCTAAGAATGCACACTACTGGACTTGCTCCAGATGCTGGATCTGACCTATATTTTCTGGATGAGTGACCAGGTTAAAGTTTTTGGAGCAGATCTCATTTCCAAGTAACTATAAGCCCTATGTTGACCAAACTTGCATGGTTGATACATCTAAGGATGCACACTACTGTACTTGCTTCGGATGCCGGATCTGACCTGTATTTTCTGGATGAGTGACCAGGTTAAAGTTTTTGGAGCAGGTCTTATTTCCAAGTAACTTTAAGTCCTATGTTGACTAAACTTGCATGGATGATACATCTAAGGATGTACACTACTGGACTTGCTTCAGATGCTGGATCTGACCTACATTTTCTGGATGAGTGACTAGGTTAAAGTTTTTGGAGCAGATCTCATTTCCAAATAACTATAAGCCCTATATTGACCAAACTTGCATGGATGATACATCTAAAGATGCACACTCCTGGACTTGCTTCGGATGCTGGATCTGACCTACATTTTCTGGATGAGTGACTAGGTTAAAGTTTTTGGAGCAGATCTCATTTCCAAGTAACTATATGTAGGTCCGCTTATCTTATTAATCAAACTATAACATGGTAATGCTTCACATAAATGATAAATACCTACAAGATAATAAGGGTATACCGTAGTTAAATGCAATTACAAGTACATGTGTATATCAAAGTATCAGTAGGTTGGAAGAATTGCTTTCACTCTCAATTTCACTCTCAATCAGAACCAAAATTTATCCATTTGAAAATAAATCGGTACAAAAAATTAAACTGACAAAAGAATTGATTGTTTGCATGAAAAATATTAATGCTCCATGCGAGGATCGAACCAGAAAATTTTCAACTTCATTGCACTGGACGGGTAACGCATTACTAATGAACTATCATGATTCATCACTACACTAACAACTTGGATTTTAAAACGACAATGAAGCACCGCATGTACACATTGGAATTTTGTTTTGGAAAAATTTCATTTTTTATGGTCTCTAGGTCTTCTCTCCATTTTTTTCAAATTTTTGTTTGGTTCTTTGAATTAAATTGCATACAAAGAAGGTTTGAAAATCATGGAGAGATGACCCAGAGATAGCAAATTTTTTGGAAAACATGTTTGAAAATGTGACATTTTGTACCAAACAAATCTTCTAGCCTATTTTCAAGTTATTTTTTAGCAAATCAAAACACAGTATTGGGAAAATATTTCCCTTTCCTTTTTCACAGGAACCCGCTACATCAAAAGAATGCTAAAACTTCATGTGACAGAACAATGAAAATTTCACTTTTCAAGTGAGCCCAGATTCCTGCCAAATGCCAATCAGAAACGCCCTCGTTCTTTTTGAGAACTGGTAGTTTGTAAAATGATCTTTAACAGTCAAATCTTTCTAGTTAATTTGCACATAGATTCAGTGACAGGACTTTGTGAAACAAAGCATAAGACAACATTAAATTTGTTTCTTTCTATCAAAATGTATCGAAAATATCCATATCGAGACAATATTATACGATACGTATCGTATCGTGAAGGAGGCGTATCGTTTCACCCCTATATTTAAATTATCATTGCCAAAAATCATGACATTTGATTAAGCTAGCTTAATTATTGTGGAAAAATCTGTTACGAGAACATCCAAAATCACTTATGTTCTCACCTGAGCTTCAGATAAACTTTTCTGATCACATTTTGTCCAGCATTGAAATAGAGAGGAAAAGTCTTCAAAATCTTCTTCTCAAGAACCACTGACCAGAAAAGATGCAACTTATGTGAAAATTTGTGAGGTAGTTTAGATTATAAATTGATTGAACCAATGTCCCCTAGGGATAGGTTGGGGCCACAATAGAGAATAAAAGTTTACAAGGGGAAAAATCTGATGAAGAAAATCAGGACTAAAGTGACTCAGGTGAATGTTGTGGGCCATGGACCTCTTGTCATTGTTGTGTAGAGGTCTTTTAATAAAAATAAACTTTCTGACCATAACCTTCTCCATCAGAAATAATTCAGTTTTAATGTTAAACGTTTATAGTGTAAGTGATTTTTATTTCTAACCAGTATTGGAGCACATAAATCCAAAAATTTAGACTTAATGTCAATAATTCACTGGCCACCAGCCCAAAAAACATTTTTTTAAGTATGAGAACTCTGAAAAATTTGTGTAAAAATCAGTGTGTGGAATTGCAGCTCCAAAATTCCTCAGGTCTGTTGCCCAGGACATATTCCGTTTTCAGATTCCGCAATTTAGAATTTCTATAAGTCCAAAGAACTTGTCAGCTTTTGTTTATATAAACAAATTTGAAGTAATCAGCATTGGTAGAATTACAGCATCAATTTAATATCGTGTAGTTTACAAGCGTCATATTTTCTGTTACATTGAACATAAGGGTCTTCATGTTGGATCACTGCAGATGCATATTCAGATTTCTATACATGTATTTTGTAGGGCTGAAACGATACGCCCCCTCAACGATACAATTCATATCGCGATACTTCTGTCACAATTCAATTTTTTCAATACAATAATTTTTAAAAAAGAAACAAATCTATTTCAAGGAGTAAATGAACCCAATTATTAGAAAACATATCGAACCGAAAATTGAGATAGTGAATCGAACATTGAATCGAGCAATTATATTGAACAGTATTGATATCTGGGTGAATTGTTTCAGCCCTAGTATTTTGTTCTAATAACACCAATAAGTATTCAACAAGGCATGATCCATGAAAGAGGTCAATGATTTTTGTTGATAAAAAATTTGATTTAGAGCTGAAAATTCCTTTAATTTGTTCTAAAGGCTTGGATGTACACAATTCTGATGGAGATAGAAAGGAAGATTAGACATATGTTAACAAATTGAGGATTCTTTGTATTTTAAAGTTGCCTGATCAATAAGTCATTGACTATGGCTTGTCTATGATGAAAAGGACATTGCCTTTATAGTTCAATTTCTACTAGAAAAAATGTTTTTCAAATTAGAAAATTGGACATTTCTCAGTCAGAAATTGGCCCTAAGTTGCCTGGACTTGAAATCGCACAAAGTATAGTTGAACCCCTAATTATAATGCTATACATTTACATATTATATTTAATTTTGATCAAGGTTATATAGGAATTAGATATTTTAAATCTGCTATTGTATCACTGGCATTATTGCATTTCCTGACATATTACATGATGTGTTAATTAATAATGTTTAATGAGAAAGTTTTACTTATTTGCTGCTAGTGGTAAAGATGCAAAATTTAGATACACTTTATTTCATAAGAGCATGCATTTGGAAACCTAGCTATTACACATGAACATGATATTTAGAATTAATGAAATTGAAAGCAGAGGTGAATGTAATCATTAGCTTGTTTTAACTAGGTGTGCAACTAATAATCATCATTGGAATTAAGCATTAAAAACAGCAAAGACCAGCAGAATATCTTTATTGATGCATTATTTTCATTGAAATTGTTATGTATTTGTAGGCCTGTGGCATGATGGATAACCCTATTCCTTACTCCAGCATCGAAGATGTGCACATCATCTCACGATGGGATGCTGGCCAGAAGTTCTGTATAAGAATTACTGTACCAGATGGCTCCCTTCTCATTCAGGTGGGTTTGACATGCTGTAGTGAGGTACTGGTTTGTTATTTGTACTGTCAGTATAACTAAACTTGGTTCTAGGTATGCTGAGAGAGTCAGAGACACATTCTGAAAACTGTACAATTTCCTTAGTCTGGAAAGCTCACCTGCAATATGAACATATTTAGATATAAGGTAGAAAAATATGCTTGGGATTGAATTTTGGAAGCTTTTGTTTTCGGGGGTCATCCAAAATGAATATGATCTGGACAGTTACAATTGAAGAATGTCTTTACATGTATATGTATGAAATGCAGCAAGAGGAACTAAGTACTAATCAGTAAGGATTGATAGAATATGCATTTTTTAAAAAAATATATTTAAATATTTACATTCGGCATAATTTCTTTATGAAATCCATTGGAATGTACAAAATTCAACCCCCAAACACACATGGCAGTAGAATACAGAATACACAGTTAGGAACTACATACACTTTCAATACACTAGAAACACAAAAAATGATTATTGCTTTATCTCAGTTTAATAAAAAACAGTTACCCTATTAAATTGTTGTTAAAATATAACAATTGAATGTTTAAAGTTAATTTGTCATTATTTCCCCTTGCAACATACTTTTGTGTTACTTAACTTTCAGAAAGTTCTGATAGGTGCTGAATATATAAAAACGAAAGAAAATATGAAATTAACATTTATGAAGAGAGAAAATTAGAGAATATATAAATAAAAAGATTGAATTCTAATTATATCCCCCACTTTTCAAGCAGAGAAAATGGTTTTTCATGTGAAATTCCACATTATTTTTTAATAACAGAATAATTTTTGCTGAGAAAATTTTCCTCAGAAAAGTTGTGTCCATCATTATTTCATAAATTTCAATATTGAGAACTTTACTCTATAAATATTAAATTCACAAATTGAATATGATTTTGATATATCTGAACCCATCTATAGGCATTTTGCATGCCTTGTTCACCCATCTCCTTTTACATAGTAGAATACACTCATTTTCATTGAATTTCTTTTTTATCTTCATCTTCAGGTAGAAAAGTGTCATAATGACGAGAAAATTCCATTAAATGCTGGGAGAGTCAATCTCCCTTGAAGAATTTTCAGATTGGCATTGATTTTTGCTTCAAAACTTGCATAATTCTCAAAACTATATATCATAATTATGCAAAATATAGATGTACTGACACAGTATGAGTTACAAAGATTATTTACTGAATTACTTCATGAAATGTCAGTGCATATATGTATGTAGTTGACTATTTATGTCATAACTTCCTGTTTGTGCAATATATACACAAAACCCAATATGCCATTAGTCTATTAATTATGACAGTTGACAAGCAGAAGTTTGAATCCTCAATTGTTAAAATAATTTTTCATTCTCTAGGGGGCTTGCAGAATGCTGTTACCTTTTTAAGGATAATTGTTCTTGTATGCATTGTTAAATGCAATGTTCTAAAAATCAATAATACGAAAAAAAGATTTTTTTTTAATTTAAGAAAGTAATAATGGGATGTAATTCAAAGCTCTCCATGGCAGTTTGCCATATTTTACCTATGGGTAGGTAGCTAGTGACTTTACTAGGTGTATTGACAATTTAGTTATTGAGTCATTGTGAACCACACTATCCCCTTAATTTAACTTAGAAAATCAAATGTAAGATGGTGGTGGAGTCATGCAGTTGTTATATTACAATGTATTACTTTTTTTTTAGCTCACCTGAGCTGAAAGCTCAAGTGAGCTTTTTTGATCACATTTTGACTTAAGTTCATCTGTCTAGCTGTCTTTCTGTCCATCTGTAAACTTTTCGCATTTTCAACTTCTTTTCCAGAACCACACCCTCATTCAAGTGGAGATAATTCAAAAATAGTGAAAATTTGTTGACATGATTTAAAAATCTTCTTCTCAAGAACCACTGGGTCAAAAAAGTCGAAACTTATAGGAAACCTTCTTTACAGAGTGTAGATTCAAGTTTGTCCAAATCATGACCTCTGGGGGTAAGATGGGGCCACAATGGGGGATCAAATTTTTATATAGGAAAAAACTTTAAAAGTTTTCTACTCAAGAACAGCAAAGCCATGATTAATCATATTGATATATGGAAGCATCTTCAGGCAGTGTAGATTCAAGTTTGTTCAAATCATGACCCCTGGGGGAAGGGAGGAGTCACAATGGGGAATCAAAGTTTTACATAGGAATATATAGGAAAGTCTTCTTCTCTGGAACAGTAAAGCCATGTTAAGTCATATTGATATGGAAGCATCTTCAGGCAGTGGAGATTCAAGTTTGTTCAAATGATAACCCCGGGGATAGGGAGGGGCAACAATTGGGGTCCCAGTATCAAATTTTTACAAAGGAATATACAGGAAAAAATCTTTAAAAATCTTATGTTCAAGAACAGCAAAGCTGTTCGTTATTTTGATATAGAAGCATTCATAGGTAGTTTAAAAATCAAGTCCTCTATCCCTAGCCCCCATCCCCCATTCCCTACCCTTGTAAACTTTTCAATACTACTGAACTGATTTGTGCTTTCCCTAGCCATTCTGCTCAGGTGAGCGATGTGGCCCATGGACCTCTCATTATTCTAGGATTGACCTATTTTGCTGTTAATAAAAAGCTTATTCCACAAGTTACTTCTTTCATTCCAAACAAAGTTTCTAGAAAAATTACTTCTGTTTGAAATTTTTTCCAAATGCAATGATTGAAAATGTGGCCCATTTCCAAAAATCACTCATTTTAGTAATGTTTTAAGGTGGGTAACTCTAGGCAATCCTAAACGAATACTCAAAGTAAAGTATTTTTTTCGCTCACCAGAGCTGAAAGCTCAAGTGTGTTTTTCTGATCACCTATTGTCCATTATCCATCCGTCCATCTAGCCATCCATCTGTCTATCTGTCCATCCATCCATCTGTAAACTTTTCTTCACATTTTCAACTTCTTCTCAAGAATCACTGGGCCAAAAGCTTTCTGAGGTAGTTTAGATTCTAAATTGTTCAAATCATGGCCCCCAAGGGTAGGATGGGGTCACAATAGGGAGTCAAAATTTTACATTGAAATATAAAGGAAAAAACTTTTAAAAATCTTTTTCTCAAAAACTACTGGGCTAGAAAAGTTGAAACTTATGCGGAGGCCTCCTGAGATAGTGTAGATTCTAAATTGTTCAAATCATAGCCCCCGGGGCTAGGATGGAGTCACAATAGGGAATCAAAGTTTTACATTGAAATATGCAGGAAAAATCTTCTTCCCAATAACCACTGGGCTAGAAAAGCTAAAACTTATATGGAAGCTTTCTGAGGTAGTTTAGATTCTAAATTGTTCAAATTACAACTCCAATGGTAGGGTGGAGCCACAATAAGTATTACAAGGGGGAAAATCTGGAAAAGAGCAAGGCCAAAGTTACTCAGGTGAGCATTGTGGCCCATGGGGCTCTTGTTTTAATTTGCACCCATTATTTAAAGATGTTTGAGTGAACAAAACAATTGGACCTTAAATAATCTTTGCAGTCAAAATACATATCATAATAATAAAACTTTTAATTTTTCTAGGTCTCATCATGTGTGATTCTGGTCCGTGGTGAAATTGACACACATACTGAAAATGTCATATATTCAGTTTTACAAAACAAAAACCTGATTTTATATATGTGTGTATTGTTTCTTTCAGGCTCACAATTCATACATCCGAGACCAGTGGCTCCATTCAATTCTCTGGAAGGTATGTAGCTCGCAGCTGAACAGTAACCCTTGTATGTACTGGGCTATTTTGACAGGACCTGAAATATTTCTGCCTTATGTTTTGACCAAGTGTCACAGAGGCAGGGTAATTATTAGCTAAATGAGGCTGCTGGTAATGTATATTATAAATATATAATACTAGTGTGAAAACATTTATGGTTGTGGGGGGTAAACCTATACAGCAATACATTGCTTCTGTGGAATAAACCAATTTTTGCAGAAAATGGATGTAATTTGAACATTCAGACTTACACTTGCAGCTCATTTATTGAGCATTTCAAATTTTTAAAGTGTGAACTTTGAAAGAGGTTTTTTTTTTCTCAAATTATACACATTATATAGTTCATGTTTTCTTCCTTCTGGAGAATTGTGACAGAGGTGTGACCCTTTTGTTACTCTGCAACAGGAAGTACGCAAAGACAAATTACTCTTGCAAACAGAGCACCCTGTATATCCTGAAAATCTTGTGTAGGGAAATCCTCCTACGTTGTATCAATTTTTTGTTTTTGTTTTTTGAGATGTTGGGAGGTCTTGATTTTAATATATGTTTTCCTGGTTATAAGATATGTAGATATATATATATGCTGAAAATGAAACTACTAAATTTTCCTTCCCTTAACTTGCTCTATTCTCACAGCTTTTATTTTTCAAAGTAAATCAGGGTTGATCTCTGCCTTTCCCAGAATACCAGTGTTGCTTTATAAGATTAAAGATAACTTATTTTAGCCCTTTAGTATCTTTTCATGACTTACGGTTAAAGTCCGGAGATCTAGTTTTTACACTAAAATGAAATTTTCTGTCAAATATGCTCTGATGATCCTGATGGCAATTATTGAATGGACAATTCTGAGTTGAGCATTATTGGAGAATATTTGGTCCCTGTACAATGATGCCCTTAGCTAATTAGCTAATGACATGTCATCTGTCAGCACATCTTTCAAACAAAGATGTAAACTATGTAGGGTGTATAGAATTAGAATACTCATCAGAATTTTCAGAGAATTTTTTTTTAATTATAAATAACTAAAACATTGCATTCAAACCAATCTTGAATATATTGTGCATCTCCAGATGCTTTTAAAGTCTGATGCATGCATGGAATGCTGCTTCTGATCTACATTTTAAATTTGAATGACTTTGGTAAAGGATATTGTTTAGGTATATTTCTAGCTTACTATAATGATAGTTCACATGGTGCATATTCTTTGAATACTTTGTTGAATGCATGTGTTGGATGCTGCATCAGACCTACATTTCATGCTTCATGGGCATTGAACAAATAAGTTTCCTGTTAAAGAAAACACCCTTTTGTAACAAAACATTATATACATACCGTATTTGGCTGAATATAATACGCACTTTTTTCCCAAAATAATTTTCTGTGAGAAAGGGGTGCGTATTTTACACCACAATGGGATTTTGATAGGTTTTTCTCTCATGTGAAAAACGGCTATCATACGCACATACCGTAGTATTACCTAGAGACTTAGGCAATTTCTTGCTGTTTATCGCCGTATTTAAAACTTCGGAAAGTTATTGTTGAAATGTAGGCTTGTTAAAAATGTTATATTTATAACCTTTTGATAGTTAAATTAAATTTAAAAGCAAGTTAAAATTAATTTGAGCTGCATGTTCATCGTCTCCGTGTAGGCCGCCATTAACGATGTTATTTATAGATGTTCACACATTCCTTTGCCACGTGCTTCCATAATCATAGTGCACAAGTGGGAAGATTTACCAACATCCCTCGTGAAGATCGATTATGCAATAGATGTAACTCTAACAGTGAAGATGAGGAAACTCATTTTCTTATAACATGTAAAAAATATGATCATCAAAGAAAAGAAATTTTTCAATCAATTAAAAGTAAATTTCCAAATTTCTCGGCATTAGATGATGAACAAAAACTTTTCTGGTTACTCAATACTGAAGACAAAGAAACTGTTAATTCTGTGGGCAAATTCATAAATGATAACATGTAGTAGCCATACAGTTTTTTTTTATATATAGTATTCCCTTTAACTGAAATAGTACAATATTATTGTTGAAATGAGCAATGTCATTTACAAATTGTTATACTATCCATTGGCATATCTTTTCTTTATTATTGTAACAATTTCATACTTGTCTGTTATGGGCTCTAAATTAGAAAATAAATGTTCTGTTCTGTTCTGTTCTGTACCTAATCAGTCAGACACTCGGTCAAAAAAGTAACATTTTGTCATTTTTTTAAAGAAAAACAATAAAATAAAATTTATTTTAGGTTTTAAATAACTCAGTGAAAATTCATTTCAACATAAACACCCCTCTATACCACAGGCGCTTGACGTTTTTAACCTTTCTATCCATAAATAAAAAATCCCCCATACTATAATAATAACAAGGTTCGTCACGGTCGCCATCGTGAATTTTTCAGTTCAGGAACTTCGCCTCGATTTTTAGTCTACAATGTGTTTAAAATTAACGGATACAACCGTTTCCCTCAAGTACTTACTTTAACTATGCCTCCACTTTCGGGCAATTCAACTCAAATCACATTAAATCCTCTCTAATTCTTAAAATGTCGCTTCAAACTCAGTCTACTGCTACCGATTCCGTAAAACTTAGAAAAGGGAGGCCGGAAGTTGATGTTAGAACGTCACAATCCGGGAAAGCCCTTTTCTGATTGGTGGATATCTTGAGAGTTGTATTAATATTATTTGGAGCTTGAGCAGTTCTAGACTAAGTACTGGTACGTATTTTATAAATAACTTAGTAATATATACTGATACATCTATAGTCCCTAACTGTTTGCAAATAAATATATATATAGACTAAAACTATGTACTTTTTCAACTGCTATTTAAGAAACACTGAAATATTTAGGCTGAATAGTATACACTGCATTTTACATGCAGAGGCGTAGTTACACACCTGAAAGTAAAGGGAGCTTAAATCCAAATAAAAATTCAATTATATTGTCAAAACATAAAAGCGTTTACAATTTAATTCTGAAATTTAGAGGGGGGGGGGGGGGTCTGGCAGATTTTGAAAATAAATTTAATTGTCCTTCACTGACATGGAAATAAAGCTGGGAAAAAATTGCCAGCTCAGCCCCCCCCCCCCCCCCCTCTGGAATCAATTGGTCCTCCCTTAAAAATAAATGAATGGCAATATAATCTGTGAGGCCACCCATAGGTCTTAGGTGAAGCCTTGATTGGGGCGGGGGGAGCTCCTGGCTTGTACAAATATTTCAATCACATTCTTGCAGGGAATAGCATGGTATTTGGCTTTTCTTATGAAAGACAAGACAGTAATATTGTTTTTAACACGAAGTTTAACTTTCTCGGAAACTTATTGCAAATGTACTTGAGGCATGCAGAATCTTTTACCGCTACATTTGTATTGTCTGCTCTCTGTTATAATATATAGAGAATAATACATGGCAAAATCTGTATCACACCCCATATCAACCCGAGACTCCAATATCAGCCCGAGGGCCGAAGGCCAGAGGGCTGATATTGGTCGAGGGTTGATATGGGGTGTGATACAGATTTTGTCTTGTATTGTTGTTTTTATTATATATTTGAAAATAGTGTCTAAAAATCATATATAAACTTGTAAATTAATTACTGAATTTTTAATAATTGAATGTGTTCTGTTTTTGTTGAATTTCCGTTTCTCAATCTTTTTTAAAGGCAAATAAATGCATTCAGCGATAAGAAATGAAATTATTATAAATCAAACAAATAATTATTTTGAATAACATAAAATGTCTGATGACATAAAATTACAATTTTGAAGAAACTTTGGAAAGAAATAGGAAAAGATCCGAGGTACTCCGAATGAAAAATACAGAGATGTTCCGGAAAGGTGTAATAAAGGGTGTGATAAAGGGTAAAATAAAGGGTGCTGATACAGGGTGTGTAATACAGGGCGCGTGCCTGTGTTCATATTAGGGATGCAAAAATCCTGTATTATATAACAAATATATAATAAGTATTAATAATGTTCAGCAACAAGTATTTCAAATGTTGGTAGCAAAAATAATTTTAAAATCATATACTACAGTGGCGGATCCAGGAGTCTTGGAAAGGGGGGGGGGCAGTTTGGGGTCAGGGTAGGGGCTAACAGCCACACACAAAAAAATTGCTTTATTAATTAAAATCTTATGTATATTTTGGACACAAAGGGAGGGGGCGGGTCCCCTGCCCCCCTCTAAATCCGCCAGTATACTATTTGATCAAGCCATTTGACGATAATTAAACTTAATTTCTCAAAGGTCTTATAGAATTATTAATGTGTTATAGAACACTTACTATAGATTAATGATTTATTTGGATTTGGCAATGATTCAATAAAAGATTACAAATAGACGTAATAATATAAAATTTGATTCGAAATAATGACAATTAATAATTTGAAACAAAAATGTTGCCGGATGATGCTAATATTTTTTTTCTCTCAACAATCTCTCTCTCTCTCTCAGACCTAGATTTTTTTTTTAAAACGATGTGTCGTAACGCACTTGCGTACTTGCAAAGACAGCTTTGCACCTGTAGAAAGAGGGGACATGGAGGTTCAGTGATCTGGGCCAGCTCACAACTGTGATGAAAAATAAAACATACACATATCTATCCTTTTTTATAATTTTCATCGCTTCCAAACACTGAAAATAGTACCATTATAGGGAAGAAATATTTATGCCAGAATGCAAGGGGTCTGGTTTACACGAGAAATTAGTAACCAGAATTCCAGGACCAAGCATAATTTTTATTTCCTCATGATTTTTTCTTCAACAAAATAAAAGAAAAAAAATATTTCACATATTATTTCTGATGATTATGGAAAGCATTGGCCTGCTCAGCATTCAACATGTCGAAAAAGTTTGTTACTGTCTTTGCACGATTTTTCCCGCGAAACGTCATTTTTCTTTTAGCCAATGAAATTTAAGTAGAGGGAATTCCCATTTACATAACAACATCAACTTCCGGCCTCCCTTTTCTAAGGTTTACGGAATCGGTAGCAGTAGACTGAGTTTGAAGTGACATTTTAAGAATTAGAGAGGATTTAATGTGATTTGAGTTGAATTGCCCGAAAGTGGAGGCATAGTTAAAGTAAGTACTTGAGGGAAACGGTTGTATCCGTTAATTTTAAACACATTGTAGACTAAAAATCGAGGCGAAATAGCTGAACTGAAAAATTCACGATGGCGACCATGACGAACCTTGTTATTATTATAGTATGGGGGATTTTTTATTTATGAATAGAAAGGTTAAAAACGTCAAGCGCCTGTGCTCTATACAGTGAATGGAAGCCAATGTTGTGAACACATGCGCGTGACACTTGATAATTACCCCTCAACACCCCTCCAAGCAATTAAATTGTTTACTGACTCCAAAGCATTGTTTTTACAGTTAGAGCACTGATTATTTAATGCCCTTATTAATGGCTTTGATTATTTTCTTTGTTAAAAATCGGGGATTGGTTTATGATCTTTCGTATGTAAAAGCATGTGTTGATAATGACACATTAAACAGTTAAACACTTGTTAAATTTAATTTTACTTTATCTTTTATCGGCCTTGTGTTAAAATGATTGAGAGTTAAAAAAGGAAATATGAAGTATGTTGAAACTTAAGTGTTATCATTTACTCGTGCTCTGTAGAAAATAAGATATCCACGAAGATTACCTTGATGTATGAAGACATATATCCCACCTTTGTACATCATTTTTCACAGCTTTGGAGGTGTGTTGATAACTACACTTTACACGCTTGTTAATTTTTGATTTTATTTTTATAACATCAGCTATTTATTTAATTAATTAATTTCAAGTTCAAAAGAGAAAAATCGTAGTCTATGAATACTTTGATGTTGCAATATCGCTTGCCCTGTTAAATATTCATAATTTTCAACATGATTACCTTAAATTAAAAATAAATATGACAACTGTTAAACTTGCAACAATATCTCGTGCTTTGTTGAAATAAAATTATTTCCACAAAGAATAGTTAGTATACGGCGAGGTATAATTTCAATATTACTGTATGCTAAAAAAAATTAATAATAAACTCTGTTAATACTTTAATGCAACATTATCTCGTGCTTTGTTAAAATAAATAATTTCCTCCAGATTGCCGCTATATGGAAAGTCAAGATTAAGAAATAAAAACGCATTTGAATAAAATATCGTTTTCTTTAAATTTTCGGCACTTTATCTCAGCGCCGATTTTCATAGCAAATTACTGCGATTTTCAAAAGTTCAGAACACCGCTTGGTAAAATTTTCTGCTGCGTATAATACAACTGAACTGCGTTTTTCCCCCCAGTTTCAGGCTCAAAAAGGGGGGTGCGTATTTTACACCAATGCGTATTATATTCGGCCAAATACGGTAATGCAGAGAATTTTGATAAACCGCTGCTTTACTACAGCAGTGACTCCCTTGTTCAGACTTTGAAGCACTTTGTTCATTGAGAACTCCTAAGCAAGATTTATCTCTCACTTCTGATATTCACTGGTATTAGGTAAACACTTCATTTGTATGAGCACATTTTAGAAATTCTTAAAGGCATCATGTTTTTGTATTGTCTCTGTCTAATATGTACATCAAGCACATTGTCAATGCAGTCAAATAAAAGGGGATCTTTAAATGAGTATTTTATTGGTCAGAACATACATGTACACTACAAAAACTGTGCATATACTTGATATATGTCTTTTATAAGCCTAGATTGAAACTTTTTTTGCAAGCAGACTGACTTGGAACAGTGCATCTTGATATCTAAAAATGCCAACAAAGGATACTTCTACATTTTTAAATTTTCCTAGCTCCAATCATGTACCAATCATATCTTACATTATGTTAAGGCTAGGACCATTAAACCTGGTTAGATTGGGAGAAAATGTATTGCAGCTCAACAGTAGGTCACAGTGACCGACTGACCTCATTTTAGAATTTGGTGGCTGTATAAATCAAATTGTGTCTAGATCATATCTTGCACACTGTGAGATCTAGAACCTTGTCATTTGATCTTTGTGGAAAGGTATATCATGACCAAAAAGTTAGGTCATTGTGACCTAATTCTTAGGAGTGAAACGGTTCCCCGCGGTATCGATTCACCGCAGTATTTTTTCTCGGTTTATACACGATGCAAAATCTCTAATTTTCGGTTCAGTTCATTTTTCGGTCGGGATCGTTATTCAGTCGGGTTTGGCATAAGGTAAAACAGGTTACTCAGTATAAATAAGTATAGAAAACGTAAATTTTTGATGACTGATAGCTTGTAAAATAATTTTTGACAGTCAAATATTTTTAATCAATTTCTTCTAGTCAATTTGCAAATAAAATTCGTAAAATGTGTGACTAGATTTAGAAAAAGAAAGCATAAAACAACGTTGAATTTGTTTCCTTCTATCAAAATGTATCGTATCGAAAATAACCGAACTGAGACAAAATTATACAATACGTATCGAACCGTGAAGGAGGTGTATCGTTTCACCCCTACTAATTTTGGAATTACAGGCATTGTAGCTCAGTAGATAGAGTGCTTGCCCCATAGTTGTAAAATTGTGGCTTCCAATCGCAACCACTTCTAAACCTTATTTGATAGTTTGCCTAAGACTTGGCACTATTGAAGTAAAAGTTGCATGTTTTTTGTATGAAACCTTAAAAACCAAGGCCCCGTGTTACAGCAGGCTTAAGCACGCTAAAGAACCGGCTTTACTGCCCAATGGCCTTGAGTCTAAAATTATGTCCATATCATATTGTGCAGAGTGTGAGCTATAGAATCATCAAACCTAACTAGTTGATGTATCTTGGGAGGAAAGTGTTTTAATTAAGACCCAAAAGGAGGTCACTGTGACCTCATTTTGGAATTCTGTACAATCCATAGTCAAATTGTGTCAGTTCATACCAATATCTTCAAAACTTGAAAACCTTTGGTCATCAAACCTTGAATTTTGTTTTAATCTTTCCTTTAACTCGATAGATTATGAACAGTATGATTTATTTGATGGCAGTGTTCTTTTTTGGGTTGTTTTAAAGCATGCCCTTTATTTGCCCTGCAGGGGTATAAGATCGATTAGGACAGTTTCAGTTTAATTTTGCAAAATGCAACTTAATTAATAGGCCATTAGACTTTCTAGTTTCCTGCCTTTAATCGGTACTCTAATGCGTCTATTATTTGGTAAGATAAAACTGCAGTGAATCAATTTATCTTGTGGAAACTGACATTCAACGATTGATTTGTAATACATCTTGAAGGAAAATGCTCCATTTTGCACAAAAAACTATCACAGTGGCATACATTTGTAATCAATCTGCATACAGAAGCTCTCTTTTTAAGCTTCAGTCCTTTGCATAGACGGCCCAGTAGGAAAGTCTTTTAGATATAATTTTTGTTTTATTTACGAGACTGTGTCTGGCTTATCACCATGAAGCTCTATACACTGTAATCAGGGTTTATACAAAATGTACTAAATCAATTTCTGTCTTGCACATGCTCGTGCATCTATACATTTTGTATCTATATATTCATGCCTCTTAAGTTACCTTAGTTATCTTTGAAGCATGCATTTCTTGACAGTAAACCGCACCGATTTGCAAAGGGATTAAACAAAAATATTTATACACATCATAAAGGCTACTCTATAGCCATAGGTACTATTTCACGTCAGTTAAGTTATTGATTTTTCTGTTCATTAAAACTTTGCCCTGAAAGCATTAATACATTGAGCACAATAGTATCCTATTCCTTTGCCTTCTTCTACATTCTGGTAGCCAGTATTATCAATCATTTTTTCCTTCTTCATCCTCTCATTACAATAATGAATGACAGCTATTCTCCCTCTGTCAATAGGCCAGGACAGGACACCCCCAGCAGATATAATAAGACACAGTAGCTATGGTATGAAATTGATAGAGTGGATGGTGATAAAAATTTAAAATGGTTCCCTTTCCATCTGAGAGAGGGGTAGAGAATGGGGAGTGAGGTTGGCATTAAAATATGAATGTCTGATGCCTTCCTGGTTCATGGAAGTGTAATCATTAAATAGGCTTTAAGTAACAGGTTTGAATTTTGAGATGATAAATCAAACTTGCTAATTTGATGTATATTTATAAATCAGGCAGAGATTAAAGAGATATTGTACTTTTCATACTTTTACCTCATCATAACAGAGCTTTGAATTAAGTTCACAGTGGAGGGATTTAAGTACAGACATATTAAATCTGTGCATCCACTAGGCCTATGAAATATAAAATTCGTTTGATTAGACATATGGTCATGATTTTTTTTTCTTTTTAATTTCAGAAACATATGTACAAATGTGAGAAATTACTAAAGAATGCAAGGCGACCAGAAGTTCTTGTCAAGGAGATCAAGGTAAACCAAGACCTTTTTTTCCATCTAAACATAAACATACTGTTCCACAGAATTATTTTTGCCCCATCATAATGCTTATAAATGATTTTGCCCCATCTTAAATTTGCCCAGTCACAGTTGTGCTAAAAAAAGAAAAAAAACTATCTCTCTGTTGAATTTGCCCATTTTGAATTCACCCACCAACAACAACCAAATGTGCAAAAATAAAATGAAAGCCAAAATTTCCCTACAGTACAGTGAAGCCCCATTAATCTGGATGCCAATAATCTGAATTCTTCACCTTCCAAATGAAATTTTTGGACTAACATATCTACCAGCTCTAAAGGTCTGTGTTTCAGTAGTCTATACACCTCATTAATCCAGACAATGTGATGGAGAACACAATGTCTGGATTAACAAGGCCCGACTGTACTATTTAATAAATACTTGTAGAAATTTGGAAGCAAAACATATACCATAGTTAAGTTAATTAAAAAAAATCAGAGGACAAAGGTCAAATGTAACAAAAAAATTATTTTCACATCTTTAAAGTATCCTATGTTCAATGGCCACATTAGATGATCATGTTGCTTGATACTCTCACTGAACCTTGTTCATTGATCTTTTCCAGAACATGATAGACGTTTCTTTGACCACTAACATTCAGGATGCCAGTGTGTATCAGTTTCCTCTAGACTTGGTGTCTGATCTTCTGCAGCAGGTAAAATTTTACCCTAGACCTGTTGTCAAACAGCAGGTACAATATTCCCTGTCTCCTCTTCTCTTCTCATGGCAAGCCATTCAGACTGTAGGTATGGCTGGTTACTCCTGTTTCAGATAATCCAGTTCTCTCTCAAGATCCATGGTTACGATTAGATTTTGGTTCAATTTGTCAAGTCATTTGATAATTACGGTAATGATATTAACACATCATTTAATCATATCTTTTAATAACATTGTTCAATTATTGTCATTCATTAGAAAAAGTTAAGTTCACTCTCCAAAAAAGGGAATCTGTTGAGTTGTATTCATATTTCACACTCATCAGAATTCATAGGTTTATTCAGTGACATATTTTTATATGGATTTTTCATAAACAGCAACACTGTGTGCATGAATTGATTGGAAATTAATTAAGCAAATACCACAAGTCATCATTTACCCGAAGGGTTTGATTGAATTTTTGTATCATTAACAAAATGGAATAATAAAATCTGATCTGATGTATTGTCTGTGGTGAGTATAAATCAACAAAAACAGAATAGGGTTGTGTTGTGAAGTATTAGATAATGTTTTCAAAACTTTACTTTTGATATTAATTCCTAAAAATTTAACCTGATATTTTATTTTAAAAAAAAATCTTCACATCAGATGGGCATAGGTAGCTTATATGCAGTGATGCACTTGTGTACAACTTGAGTTGAGATAAGACCCAGATTTTAAGATTACCAAAGCCTGGGGCCAAAGCGAGCTTTCTAAAGTTTTTCTTTATAAATCCCCTATGAGTGAAAATGGGGGGACTATAGGTTTCCTCTCTGCAAATGTAGCAGGTCTTGCATATTTAGACCAATGGTTGCTCCCTACCGTAGAATTTGTAATGACCTTGAGTCAAGGTCATATGACCATATGGATGAGGTTATTTTAAGCTCACTTCAACTATGTTGGGGGAGCTTATGTAATACCCTTGGCATTGGTGTTGGCATCCCAGGTTAAAGTTTTTGGAGCAGATTTCTTTTCAAGTACTTCTGTGCCCTAAATTAGTCAGAGATGCCATGGAGGATGCTTCTAGTGTGTTTTATTGTATCGGTCAAGGTTTCAGATGCTGCAATTTCAGCTAAAGAATGACCAGGTTAATGTTTTTATGGAGCAGGTTAAAGTTTTTGGAACAGGTTAAAGTTTTTGGAGCAGGTCTCATTTCCAAGTAACTATAAGCCCTATATTGACCAAACTTGCATGGATGATACATCAAAGGATGCACACTACCAGGCTTGCTTCAGATGCTGGATATGACCTACATTTTCCAAATGAGTAACCAGGTTAAAGTGTGAGCAGGTCTCATTTCCAAGTAACTATAAGCCCAGTGTTGACCAAACTTGCATGGAAGATACATCTAAGGATGCACACTACTGAACTTGCTTCGGAACCTGGATCTGACCTACATTTTCCAGATGAGTGACCAGGTTAAAATTTTGGAGTAGATCTCATTTCCAAGTAATTATAAGCCCTATATTGACCAAACTTGCGTGGATGATACACCTAAGGATGCACACAACTGAACTTGCTTCAAATGCTAGATCTGACCTACATTTTCTGGATGAGTGACCATGTTAAAGTTTTTTGAGCAGGTCCATTACCAAGAAACTATTTTGCCTATCTGAACCAATTGCATGGATGATGCATCATGGGATGAACCCATATCAAACTTGCTTCAGATGCTGAATTTGACTTACATTTTCTGGATGATTGACTACTTTTGAAGTTTTTAGATAAGTCCGTTCCCAAGTAACTGCAAGCCATATTAGACCAAAATTGCATAAATGTTGCACCTAGGGATGCACACTACTAGATTTTTAGTTTACTGTGGGACTTTGCCTTACTTAAAGACAACATTCCTTGAGGGGAGCTCTGCTATCTCCGATTCCCTATGTTTTTCAGAACTGATATGAAAAAGTGGCTTTGTTATATAGAGATTACTTAAGTTCATACTTGAGACACACATTGCTTATGACCAGTGGATATCTCACGGGTTTAAACGTATCATATTTTGTCAAGTCAAGGGTGGATGAAATGGCAGTGTCAATTTCCTGTAAAATCACAGAGCTCGTATAAGCAAAATTACAAATAGCTTGTTTCAGTATGTTGGGTTATTAGTGCAGATCTGATTTTCTATTAAAGTAGGGGCCTTTATCATCAGAATTGACTTGTAGGTAAAAGAGTAATGACCGCTAATACAAATAAAACAATGAGATTGATTAGAGCACTTGACAACCGTTGATTGATATCAATTCTTAACTTCAGCTTATTACCTATTTCTGTCAGAGTGGAGAGTTGTTAGGTTTGATACACAAAGTATGAGTTGAGAGTTGTTGGATTATGTGTAATTTGACACACAAGATATGATCATAGATGCTGAAAACAGATTATAAAAAAAAAATCATGAGCTATCGTAATCATATTATAAAGGAGACTGTTCACTGAAGTTATACAGAGCAGGATTGTTAATGCTCAGTATATCAACACAGTGCTCGTACTTTCCTATTTTGTAGTACTAAATATATATACCAGTGTAATATTTATCTTCATAAGTAACAGATTGTTAAGATGAATGTTACACTCTTCATTTTTAACAGGTTTTAATACTGCTTGTATGTAAAGTGTTTCTATTCAGACTATTGTGTATTTAAAGGAATGCGTAACTCTGGAGAGGCTGTGCTTATCTAAACAAGTGAAACTTAAAAAATGTTGAAGTGTTTGACAATCTTCCAAACAAATTTCGTGTATTTGCTTGGCAAAAAGATGACTTCAGATCGTTAAATAAATTCTGCCTGTCACTGGTACACTTCCTAGAAAAATAAACCTAGTTTTTAACCCTCCATCCAATTCTTTTTCTAGAGTCAAGGGTCAAAAAGTAGACAAGTACATAAAGGAAAAAAAGGAAAGAATGAAGTAAACATATAATCAGTTATATATATGGAGAATTCAAGAAGGACAGGCAGTTTTGAAAATTTTCTTAAAATTGTCTCTGTCATGCCAATACTTAAAACTAAATAATGTCATTGATTAATGAATACATTGATTAAAGTTGAGGAAAGGGTCATTAAATCATCTCCATGTGCACCTGACAATTTTGAAACAAGGTCATTATAATGGCCTTAATTTGGCTTATATGATTGATAGACTTGTTAATAAAGAGTAGGAGAGTGTTTTCAGGTGTGATATGTTTTAATCCTGATTTCATGATGCTTATATAAGAATCATATGCTTGATTTTTATTGACAGAATGCTGATTTCATAACAAGAGTGGCACACGAAAACATCATTGTGGCTCTAGCCCCGCTTCTTGAAAACAACCATCCTACCCAAGAGATCTGTGAATTTTTCAGCAAGGTTGGTAGGATTGTCTCAATTATACTTTATTGTTGTTAACCATTGAAAAGTGATGTTACACAAGATCACACAGAAAAAAATCTAAATATACTGAAAAAAAAGGACTGTTATGTTCGTATATTTGGCAAATTGTTCCTATTAAGTAATATGATATTTCTGTTTTCAGCATTGCAAAAACAGTCCTCGTTCCAGCATTGTAATAGAATTGTTCACTCCTGTGGTGCAGAGAATTCTGAAACACAACACTGTAAGCAATATATATCACTATTTAGTATATAAAGCATCCTGTTCTACGTATAGGAGAAAGAAAAAACTTTGTCATTGAAATCAGAATGTAAGCTTTGTTTTCCCAAATGAATTGTTTTCTTCTTTGTTGATATCCATATTTGCTCAAATCATCTTTGATTATTTCTTTTTTTTTTAAAGTTAGGTTTTGTGTAAAATAAGACTATTTGTAAAAATTGTGCTAATTATACCCGAAGGAGAGGGGGGTATACTGTTTTACCCTTGTTTGCCTGTCTGTGTGTGTGTCCATCTCTCTAGCTGTCTGTCTGTAACAAATTTTTGTCACAGTTTTCTCAGCAACTACTCATCACAGATGCTTGAAATTTTAGCACACTCTTTGTTGAGGCATTCCATATGGTGGGATTTTATTTTTGTATGAATCCGATGTCAACTTTCTGTTTATCTGTGTTCTGTCCATACCATACATAACAAATTTTCGTCACATTTTTCTCAGCAAATGCTCATTGTAGATGCATGAAATTTTAGCACAGTCTTTGTTTAGGCATGCCATATGGTGGGATTTATTTTTGTTTGAATCCGATGTCAACTTCCTGTTTATCCCTGTATCTGTCTGTACAATATGTAACTTATATAATTTTCGTTGCAGTTTTCTCAGCAACTACTCATTGCATCCTGTGTGTGTTTCCTAACCAAACTTGTGTATATTCACATCAGAGTGTATATTCACATCAGAGCGGGGGTATTACTAGTGAGCATTGGCTCACAGACTTCTTGTTATGTAATGGTTATCTTCTATTAATAAAGAAATACATGTATTCAAAATTTCAAATTATCAAAGGAATGGACAGCCTTCCATCACAAGTGTAATTCAGTGACAAAGGACTGCCAACTCCTGTCAGATAAAATGAATATCATGAGAATGCTAGAAGATGACCACCTTGTCACATATTTCAATTGGAACAATTCTAAAATTTCTATAAAATTTTCACACCAATATGATGTGCCATGTGCAGTTTCACATTGTCCAAGAAAACTTGGAGTGCGCATTGAGCATGAGAGCAAGTGGATATCCACGTTGTTTGCAATTTTTACAAAGATGATCTTGACAATTTGTCTTAGTGTGTCCTCTTAAGTATTCTCTCTTTAACAAACCATTTCTGACTTTGATTAAAAAAATATCTCATAGTTTCTCTCTATCATTGAGATATTGTGTATGTGTTGTGGTAGCGGAATACATAGTTGCAACTAATTGGGGAAATTCCGTAACCAAATGAAAATAAGTTGGTAGGCAGTTCTTATTATTGCAGTGGAATTTTTAGCGAGATGCAAATTTAGCGATATATCCCCAAAAAATGGTATATATTTTTAGTGAGAAGTAATTTTAGTGATTTTATAATGTCAAGAAAGATAGTTATAACAACCGATACGGTATAAATTGTTAGTGATACCCAATTTTAGCGATCTCAAAACCTTTGCTTATAATGCCAAAATTGAATCCTCACTAAAAATTGTGTTTATATGGTACATAATAATATTCTTTTTAAAATAATGGGATACAATATAATTTCTGAACATCAAAAGGAAATCTGTGGCATAAAGTTTTCAATTTCTTTGTGTTATGAAACATCCTCATATGAAGTTAAGAGACCCTATTCAAAAATATATTGAGTTGAATTCTCACAATCCTAGATTCATCCTTTGGATATATAGGTAGGAAAAATTTGTTTTGGGTTCTGTCATTAAAAAAACTCAGTGGAAAATAAAAGTCCTCCAAAAATTACAGATATTGAAATGTGATCCTTGTGTATATAAATTTATGATGACACACCAATCTTTTTATTCTTCACAATGAATTACTTTGTTTATTATGGTTTTTATTGCAGATTAGTAAAAGTTGTATGCCTCACATGAAAAAAAAAAACAAAAACAAAAAAAACTTATGAGTCAGTTTCCGTTGAATGTTTTTCAGTTGGTGGGACAAGCGCTCTCAATTTTTTTTTTCATGATAGCTTGAACTGATGGCATTGGATTTCCATGTTAAGAGTTCTGAATTAGTCCCTGTGTCAAGTAACCACTAGCCCACCTAGACAAAACTTGCTTGGATTATGAAGCTTAGGATGATAAGGATGTTTACATGGACTTGTAGTCATACTGTAGAGGAATGTCCAAAAATTTTAGAAAAAATGTTGAAGTTGGATTATACATGAAGAGCTTTTAGCAAACATTGATCAAATTTGCAGAGATGCGATGACCTTTCGTTTTTAGTCAAATACCAAAACTTCTGTCAGACAAAATTGTTTTCATCTGTTGATGATATTCTTTAAGGTGAATTTTGTAATCTTGAGTAACACTATGTAGATTGATGAAATACCTCTTTATTTGTTTGTATTTTAAGGACTTTGGAAAATACCCAAGAATGCGTGGATTTGTCCAAGAGTATATTCAGGCTTTGAACTGTCAAAATGGTGGCTATGATGTGGTTCAAAATTTTGTCAGAAGGTTTGTGTAAAAATTTTAAAGGATAAAACTATACCTATTGAAGGACACTTTGCATAGTTCATGAAACATACCCTTACCTTAATTTAAGAAAGATAAATGAAAGAAATGATTGTAATAGCTTTGAAGAAATTGACAGTTTATTTAAAGATAAATGTGATGGTATATTTCATCTTTATTTTATGCAATGTTTGATATATTTTTATTGTTTATTTCTGCAGCATGCACAGCCCTGCCAGTGCTTGCCCTCACCCCCGTGTCCTCCCAAACCTGGTAGCTGTGTGTCTAGCTGCCATCTACTCCTGTTTTGAGGAGAAGAAAAAGTAAGTGGGACTTTGGAATCTTGTCCATGATCTCATGGGTTGTGCTGCATTGCTATATACATTGTATAGCTAATAACTGGAATGAAATCATTCTTGATTAGAATTAAAATACCGGTAATGATGAAACAAAAAGTAAACAAATGACTGAAATGTTAAAGCTACGTTGGGATTGAATTATTGTACCATTGTGGAATTGAAGTATGACAAATATATCAAAATTGTATATATCAGACTGTTTGTCCCTATAGCATGACACATAAGGGAGGCAGCTAGTGCATTCCATAACTATTCTCCTGCATTATTATTCATTATTAGAATCTTTTTACTCTTGATCTTCCAATAATGGTTATAGATTTAACTCTCCAACATAACATTTACTTATAGTTTGTGTGTGCTTTTGTTTCCTTGACAGTTTGCCAAGGGAGGTAAATAAGACCCAGATTTCCTCTTTTCCTGGAAAGTGGATGTGGTTTATATTGATAAGTGTTTTTTTTATTTTACAGTGCTATGCTGGATAACACTAATGTAGTGCTGGATGTGCAGGAGTGGGAAAACAAACTCTGTTGCTATATTGGAATGTTGGACACCATGTAAGATTATAACCCAAAGCAAACATGTATTTTTGTTTTACATGCAAGTTATAACAGACTGACCTTTTTGTTTCATAAAAATTCATAAACATTTTGAACCATGGAATTAAAACCTCGCATATAAACTTGTCTGATAAAGATCTCTTGTTTTTTTTATATAGGTCCACATTCTCAGACTGGCGATTAGTGCTAGGAAGTCTTCTACAACCAATTCCATTTCCAAATGAGTAAGATCTCGATCAACTCATTAGGAGTTGAAATACGTTGTACATTTGTAGTTAAGCTAGCATAAGAGTTTGCTGTAACAATGGTTTTCCAGTATATTATATGAGCATTTTGCTTCAAATTTTGTTCAAAATACATAATGCTGTTTTGTGATAATATTAAGTGTCTTATCGTACTGAAGATTTCTGTACTTAAAGATGACTTTTATAGACTCTACAGTCTGTGTATCAAGTATTTATTAAGAAAAAAATTGTTTTAAGTTGTTTGCACTGTAAAATTTCTATGATTGGTCAAACTGATAATGATTAAAACTTAACCAATTGTTATTCATGGATTTTAACAAACATTTCAAAATATTTCTCTTGCAGTGCCCTAGCACATGAATTATTTACATCGTAAGTATTACTTTAAAAATTTGTGGTATGAAGTTTGTTCTGTCTTGAAGATATATACGTGTAGGTAATAAAAGTGAAACATGGGTGTTTTCAGGGTTCAAGATAAAAATGTCTAAAAATGACTAAAATATTTTTGTCTTTAACAGCAAAATGAAGAATGTACTGAAAAACATTGCCTCTGATGAAAAGTGTGATGTACACCAAACAATCCTGGGGATCCGAGAGGGGAAGGAGGGCTGGTTCCACCTGTATTTACCTGGGACAATAGGATGTGATGATGAAGGGGAACTATGGGGGATCATGGTATATTTGAAAGTTCATACATAATGGAAAAATGGAGTTCAGAATCTTTTATCATGGAAAAAGAATTGCTTGTGATACACAACTAAATATTTAATACTATTTTTTTTTATTTCTTTTGGTGTGAAATTTTTCACTAAGAAGATATATATTGATGTATCTTTGAATATTTTGTGTTACATTTTATTGTGATACCAGTATATGATAAAGGGAATGTTTTCACATTTCAGTTGAAAACCCTGATCAGGTGTTGCTGCAAGAGGAAAAAGTTTCTAACAGAACTGAATAAAATGATTGGTCCAGTGATGTTGCTGGCCCTGAGGGAAAATGAGGCAGCCATGGAGGTTTGTATATATCAAAGGAAAAATTTTGCAAGATAGAATGCAGCTTGATGAGCTAACAGGGAGGGACTCTTATAAACTGTATGGTATTACTGTATTGAATAGATGTACAAGAGGCAAAACTAGTGAATGCCAATCAAAGTGTGTTAATTTCACTCCAACATTTATTTTAAAGAAAAAAATAAAATGATTTTTCTCTTATTAACATCAGCGTGAAGATAAATATTTTTGTGTTTTGAATCTCACGTTTTGTTAAATAAAATAGATATGTAAAATATTTCAAAGTGGAACTTAAAAAGATTTTGTTGTGTGATTGAATGATGATACTGTCATAGCTAGGCATACTTCTATAAAGATATTTTGAACAGTCCGGGAATGCATATTTTCCTTAAACTTTTGAGGTTTAACTTGATTATAAAACACGACATAGTATGTTGTTTTCTCCTTCATTCGTGTGATTAACTACCAAGGACTTAATTTTGTAAACAGGTGCTTTGTGCCATGTTAGAGCTGGAAGTAGTAGAAAATGAGGATCTAAAACTACAGATGGTAACAACATTACAGAGCACATGTAAAGGCAAACGCATGTATGCTCAACTGTGTGAGAGACAGATTGCTCTTAGAGAACTAGTAAGTAAAGTAAATGTCTCTGTAAGGGTCTTAGTAAACAGATACAGTTGGATTACATTTATGATCAGTTTTCAAAGAGTTTTCCATAAACTATATCTAGTACTATTTGTATGCAGTGCAGATGCAAAATAAAAATGATTTAACTATGAAGAATTTAAGCACAGTGAACAATGTGAATGTATTTTGCAGCAACAAAAGGGAGGACCCAAGAAACTGACATTGCCTTCTAAGTCCACAGATTCTGATCTGGCTAAGATGCTGAGTTCTGGGTCCTTTGGAAATCTGGAGTGTCTCAGCTTGGCCTTCACACACGTCACCAGTGCATGTGCTAATGACCTGATCAAATTGCCATCACTACGCTACCTAAACCTCTGGTCCACACAAGTAAGGGAGTCTGCATGATATAGGATACTCTGATCTATCAAATTTTGATAATAATAATAATAATGCTATCTCATTGCAGTTTATTGATAATCATTAAAATTCAATAATTATTGTAAATCATTTTCATTACTGATAATTTTTAGCTCTCCTGGTCAGAGACCAGAAGAGCTTATGCGATAGTAAGGTGTCCGTCGTCTGTCTGTAAACAATTTTTTCAAAACGCTACTCCTCCTACAGTTTTAGTCTGATTTCAATATAACTTAGCACAAATGTAGCACAAATGTAGACTACACTAAGATACATAATTCTCTATATCAGTTTTTGATTTCGATGAACGGTGTTGCCATGGTTACTAAAAATAGAAATTTCCTTGAAATACTTTCAAAACCCAACTCCTCCTACAGTTTTGATCTGATTTTATAATAACTTGGCACACAAGTAGACTAGACTATGATACATAATTCCTTTTATTGATTTTTGATTTTGATGAACGGTGTTGCCATGGTTACTAAAAATAGAAATTTACTCTTTTAAAACCTTACTCCTCCTGCTGTTGGTCTGATTTCAGTATAACTTGGGACACAAGTAGACTAGACTATGATACATAATTCTGTTTAACGATTTTTGATTTCAATGAATGGTGTTGCCATGGTTACTAAAAATAGAAATTTCTGTGAAACTCTTTTAAAACCCTACTCTCCTGCAGTTTTGGTCTGATTTCAGTATTACTTGGCATATGCCCCCGGATCGAAAGATCCCGGGGGTATATTGTTTTTGTCCTGTCTGTCTGTTTGTCTGTTTATCTGTTTGTCTGTTTGTCCGTTTGTCTGTCTGTCTGTTGTCAACTTTAACCTTGCCCATAACTTTTGATTGGTTGGAGCTATGACTTTCATATTTCACATGTGTATTCCTTGTGACAAGACCTTTCTTTGGGTACCATCATATTTGACCTTTTGACCTTGACCTTCGAGTTTGACCCACTTTTGCAAAATTTTATGAGACTTTAACCTTGGCCATAACTTCTGAACAGTTGGTGCTTGGGGTTTCAAACTTCACATGTGTATTCTTTGTGACAAGGCCTTCCTTTGGATACCAACAACTTTGACCTTTTGACCTTGACCTTGAAGTTTGACCTACTTTTGAAAAACTTTAACCTTGGCCATAACTTTTGAACAGTTGGTGCTTAGGGTTTCAAACTTCACATGTGTATTCCTTGTGACAAGACCTTCCTCTGGATATCAACCACTTTCACCCTTTGACCTTGACCTAGGAGTTTGACCTACTTTTGAAAAACTTTAACCTTGGTCATAACTTTTGAATGGTTGGAGCTAGGGCTTTCATACTTCACATATGTAATCCTTGTGACAAGACCTTCCTTTGGATACCAACCACTTTGACCCTTTGACCTTGACCTAGGAGTTTGACCTACTTTTGAAAAACTTTAACCTTGGCCATAACTTTTGAATGGTTGGTGCTAGGGCTTTCATACTTCACATATGTAATCCTTGTGACAAGATCTTCCTTTGGATACCAACCACTTTGACCTTGACCTTGACGTTTGACTTTTATTTAAAAAACTTTAACCTTCGCCATAACTTTTGAACAGTTGTATCTAGGTCTTTCAAATTTCACAGGTGTATTCCTCGAGACCTTTCTTTGGGTATCAACATTTTTATGACGTCGAGCTCTTGGAGCTCGAACGTCATCTAGCAAGCGCCCAGTTGAAATCGCGACCGGATATGTACGCGACCGAATGTGTCAGTCGATGCATCCGCAATAGAAAATAGCAATAAGTATAAACCAATTTCTTTGAAAACGCTCAAAATGAATAATAGCTTGAAAATAAAATTGCATCAATTATATCCGCAATTAATTCTATTGCAAAACAACAATATTATATTTTATTCTCACACAAGAAAAACGTGATGGTTGTTGCGGATGAATTTCTATAGAAAAGGTGCGTTGAATGACATGAATAACATTTCGGAACGATAACCGTAAAACAACACAACAGGAGGTAAAATAATCACAAAATTACATAAACACGAATACTTCAAGACTAAAAAGATTGAATTTCTAAATCTTAGCTTTACTTATACAATCTTCTAACCAACTCTATCCTAAAAACCGATGATATTGACCAGTATTGCTGTATTTCTCCATTTCCTCCATTTCCCAGTATACCGTATACCACGCCCGATCGTAACTCGATCGTAATTTTAACAGACTAGAGGCTTGGTTGTAGTTTAGATGCAATCACTAATACAATGCTTTGACATTGGCAATTAGAAAAAAATATTATATAAATTCACGAAATCCTTCATAGTTCTTCAACTGACTGAAAAGAATTTAGCATGAACATGTTCGACGGTGTCTGGTCAATTCGAACCCTGCTCCATTCGGACCATGACATAAGGCCCCAGACTGTAATTGTGATATTTTGTTTAAACTATTTTTTTATTATGTCTCCTGAGTCACTCACTTGACTTATTGCTACCTTCAAATTCAAAATGATCTTTTGAAATTGTTTTTCTTCTTCGACGTCATTGAAGCCTTTCAGGCTTTTGATTTATCTTTTGGCCTGGATTTTGACTTGCATTTGAAGAAACTTTAACCTTCGCCATAAGCTGCCATACGGGGGCATCAGTGTTTCACAAACACATCTTGTTGATTTTGTTGAATGATGTTGTTATGGTTACTAAAATTGAAATTTCTGTAAAATTCTTTTAAAAATCTACTCCTCCTACAGATTTAGTCTGATTGCAATAAATCTTAATAACACAAAAATCTCCATAAAACAAAAAGAGACTACACCAAGGATCATTATTCTATGTATTGCTGTTGCAAAGTTTCAAGTTCAAGTGCTACTTTTAAGTACAAACCAGTAGAGCTACAGTCTCATCAGAGACTTCTGGTTACATAATATAAAGAATTTCTATGGATGTGTTGTCATGTAGAATTGGAATTATTACATGTGATATATATTTGTAGTTTGGAGACAATGGACTTCAGTTGATATCAGAATATCTACAGAAATTACAAGTTCTCAATCTTTGTGAGACACCCGTCACCGACAAAGGACTAACATGTTTAGCAAGTGAGCAATAATTTACATGTAACAAAATGTGATATAGTAATCCAACTGAAGATTGCAACTATAGTTTAACTCCTACATCAAAGTTGTTGTTTGGGGGGGGGGGGGGGGTATACTCAAATCAGAGTGTCCACTTGTATAAATAAAATAAGAACTACGACGGAGACATGCAAGGGATAAATATTTGTCTAGTCGTATCTTTTGAATAAGGTTAGAAACCTGATGATAGAATTGCATTAATATATGCAGAGAAGACATATTGGTAAGATACAAAAGATGAAAAAATTGAATAATTAGACTTTTCTCAGCTCAGAGCCCTTGTTCTCTTGAACACTAATCTGAGCTAAAACTATTTTCCCTGTTAAGTTTATCTAAAACTGTCAGTCATCACATACTGACAAAACTAGTGTCCTAAAGGGACCTATACCCCCCGTGAGAGCACAATTAAAGCATGTATATTTACCACATCTACAAGTCTGGGTTTGGATACCCTTTGAGATAAACGGGAAGTGATCTTAATGCTGAACTTGAACTTGTACTTTCAATATTGCTGAGAATCATGGGCATTTGAACATGAAAGATGAAGCTTACTTCAATTCTGAACAGCGCATCATTGAATTAGACCTAGCAATGTTGAAAATGGTTCATGTCTATATTTGCCAGATGGGAGAAATAACTATGATGTCCCATAAAATCTTTGCAACTGAAATAGGATAAACACATGGACATCTCAGTTTTTATTCACACAAAAATATTCAGATTGTGTTTGCTATTTCACAACATATGTTAACATGCTCTGATTATGACCTGCTTTAATTAAAACTGTCTATGTATTCAATGTGTACTTTATCTTGCTGTACTAAGAAGTACATGTATAACTACTGGCTTGTTAGAAATGTAGTGTAGGGAAATGGAAGAGTGCATAAAACAATTTCATAAATTTGTAAAATATTGACATAAACATGAAAAACTTCAAAAAAATATTTTTAATTTCCATTTTAAAGAAACTATTCAATATATTCTCATCAAACTTCATACACTAATACAATTTTTCATGTTGCATTACTAATATACTCTCAACAGATAATGTCTAGTTAATTGAGTCATACGTCCTTATCTTTCAATACTTAACAATGTTCAAACTTTATTTCAGCTTTAAAGAATCTCAGAAAACTCAATCTTAACAGCACCAGTTTATCCAAATTAACATTTGAAGGACTTGTGGTAAGATGAACATAAATTGAAGAATAAAAAAATATTGATGTTTTATACTGTGTTTAGACTGTATATTTTAGTATATGAAGTTAACATTTGTGTTTGAGTTGTATCTGACCATATTTTCTGTTTATAAACATCCTTGTCTTTCTGTTCAGGAAAAGCTGCCGGCATTACAAGAATGTGATGTGAGATATACAGATGCTTGGTGATGAAGTCCGTCTTTCCCATTTTTTATAGTCATACCATACTTTCTCATCTATTTCCTGTATGTGACCACCTTTTGTTGTGTGACAGTGAACAAAAGACGAGACAGCATGCTGTAAGAGTGTCATTTCTACAGGAACCCAGGATTCCCAACAGGACTCTGAACGTGTTCCACTATATTCCATGATAGAACATGGGAAAATGGAAAAGAAGCAGGCACTACCACCATGAGATACCTCCGGGAAAGTCCTCAGCTTCACCCTTTGCTGGTGACAGGAACATAATAAGCAGCAGGTTACTGTTTTCAGATCATTACCGTGCTTCAAGGAGATACTTTATGGGAATTCAATTACAGTTTTTAACTATGTGTTATTAGAAAGTCATCCTGTATATTTATTTGCATAATGTGCTCAGATCCCCCTTTGTTGTATTCGTCAGTGTCATTTACCTATACTAAGGGATGCGAGTCTGAAGTGAGTGTCAACAAATATTGTTATCTTTTGACAGAATGGTGTTTTTAATTCTGTACATAGTTTTCATGACCATCAGCTGTAAATGAGGTTTATATGTAAAATCAGATGACTGTTATTTTTCTCTGTGTTTTAGCAAAAATTATACCCACTTTGCTTAAGTCTTTTTCTTATTTCCTGAATGATATGCATGTTTAATACATGCATTTGTATTCACAGTTCATGTATACATCTTTCTACTAGAATCAATACTTTTTTACGCAAATTTAAGAGTAGGACTTTTTTTGTTGAAAACGATTATATGTTCATGTTTGTTTTGTTAAGTGATATATTTTTTGGAAGCCATTATGTTGATCTTCTCGTCTTATCTTCCATTATAAGTACAGTGCGGACTTGTTATTACGGTGATGGTTTTATAAGATAGAACGCTTATCACGTTGTAAACTCAAAGCACAAAACCATTTCTTAACAAATCTATACAAAATAGAACTGTTTATTACGATGTCCTTAAATTCCGGGACTCGGTATTACGATGTAAAAATTCTGTCCAAAGTTTTTTTTCACTCCGTGTTTATTCAGTGTTGATCGACGGTAGACACTTAAGGAGACGCTAAATAAACACTGAAACACCTGTGCTCTGACAGAGTGTTAACTTGCAGGGCCGTTAGGTGATTAGTGACGCTTGACTGCACACACCTTGACTGTTCTAGTGAGGTCAGCAGAATTGGAGACATGTCAAAGCCATTGTTAAACAATTAAACTGTTTATTTATAAATGTAGTCTCTAGTTTATCTATCTATGTTAAGTTTTTTTTATTTTTTTTTTACTATGGTTAATAAGTAAACTTAATTTATTAAATAAATGGTTACATTTAATCGTATGCATGTATGTTAAATACGTAATGTGTAATTTCGTTTGCAGTTAAACTGTGGAATGGACAGCTTGGGTATCAAACATAATTTTGGCAAAATTTGAACTCCAATAACGTTTAAATAGCTTGGATAGTGGCTTGGACTACCTCACAGGTGTCAGCAGAAATACAAATCGATAATTGCTGCACTGCTAATTGAATTCTGTTCAGTAATTTAAAAATTCAAATTTATTTTGACATTTAGCTTGTGTGTTTTCAAATCCTGTCCATGAATATGCCTGTCATACTGCCCACTTTCGTCAGTTGTTCACTGCAGCTCTAAGCTCATTGAACACCCAAAACCGCCCAGTGATGTATTGTTGTTGTTTATGTAGTAACGATACAAAGACATTGAAAATTTTACGAACGCATTATCTAGACAGAAACGAAAGTAAATGGAAATGGCGGCAGATAAATGAAGATTGCCGAAGTTTTTATAAAAAATGTGCACATTTCTTATTAAATGAAGGAAATAGAAGAAATAGCATGATGAAGATATCTATTCAAGATAAGTTATTAATAAATTATATGTATGTAGCATTTTAATGAAGAATTTGAACAGAAGAAGGAAACAAAAGGAGAAAAATACACCTCCTAGTACAACAACAAGCTTTCAAAACGATGTTTTACTGGATTTTATTGGGAACTTTTATTACGTTGCCCTCGGTATTACGATATTTTACCGTGACAAAATGAATATCGTAATAACGAGTCCGCACTGTATTGTTTTTCTGTCTCTGTGATAAATTCTCTTTATATCAGGTGCTGATTCTTTAGGAGTGCTATATCTTTCACAAGAAATATCTTTATCTACATTTAATTTTAAAAAGCATTTCACAATACAAAGCAGTAGGGACAAGGGGCCAATTTGCAAACAGAATAACCTTACTTATTTTGGACATCTGTTAATTTGAAATTGAATATAAAAATTTAGTTTATAATTATTTTCATTATTCAATTTTTAGAATATCTTGTTTTGCATGTTACAAAGTTAAATTTTTTGGCTATTTACAATTTAGTTTGTAAAAAAGTAGGTCAAAAGTTGACATAATACAATATGCTATTGTGATGCAATCCCTACATAAGACATATTTTTCAGAACCAAATTTCATTGCGGAGTATTTAAAATCATCAATGTGCATTTTTCATGGAATTTTGTTTTCTTCCTCAATTTTGGGGATGAAATTGATTGTTATTATTATCTAGTCACATAATGCCAGATATGTTGTCAAGAGTGTGAGAAGAGACAGTCAAATAGGATAGATTGATTAGGAAACCTCTGTGACGTGGTAATATACAGGTGTATATACAGTGTATAGCTTATTGTTGATGGAACCCCCCTTTCCATGATCAATTGTATTTTGTATAAGAATGGTGAATATCTGTGTTTGTTTGTTTGTTTGTTTGGGTTTTTTTTGGTTTCAGTGACATTTTGACTGATAGTGTTACGTATACCTGTTTAATGTATAATTTCATCAAGTGACTGATTGTTCTGAAGGCTTTTTAGCTAGCCATTGTGTTTTTGTTGGCCTTTGTTTTTATCTTATTTGTACAAGCATTATAATAGTGTTGCTTTAATGTTATAGAATGCTCATCTTTTTTTCATTTGATTCTAGTCCTACAGATTTTACAGGGGATAACAGAATGTAATTTATTTCAGCATACTAAAAAAAAATTATCACAACTGTACATCATGGAATCCTTGACACCATCATGCATTATCAGTATTTTTTTTTTTTAAATATAAAATCATTCTTCTATGATGATCATAAATTAATAGCGCCGTAGCAGTTGAGTGAAGCAAACACACTGCAATGTATGCATATTTTATTTTTATATGATTTTTACATGAGTTTACTTATGTATTCTGTTGTTCACAGTTGTAAACACAGATTTTGTATACAACTGTGACATGAATACCCCACTTACCCTCAAGTCCAAGAACTTTATTTTATTTGAATTTCTGCCAAATACCAATTTCATTTCCTGTCAAGTTGTACACAAAATAAAATGCATAATTGCTCACACTTAAATGTAAATTAAAAGATGCAGAAAGTTAATCAACCCTAATAATCAAGCAAATATACACCATTATTGACCTGTTCTATTGTTATACATCTTTGTAAGGTTATTTTGATAAAATTATTTCGGAAAGACATGCACAATTCTTTTTTTTTCCAAGTTAAACAAAATAATTATTTAACAAAAATTCTTAGATAATTAATGCACACACACAAAATATTGTAAATATAAAGTACCTATTTCATCTCTGACTTCAAAATTACTGTACTTTTGTGGCATTTTGTGTAAATTTTGCCGAGTTATCATTAATATTGCATTTCTAGTCAACTTTTCAGCATGGTCTGTAAAACTACAAATTGCTCTTTTAGTCAGTATGGTGCCTTAATTCTCATACTTCTGTTTATCAAATTCATTTTATTTATTAGGCTGTGTTAAGAAAAAAAAAAATCCATCATGGTATAATATGTCATCCTTTTAAATGTGGCAATATGTGTTTTATTAGCTCACCTGAGCCAAAGGCTCAAGTGAGCTTTTCTGATCAAAATTTGTCCGTTGTCTGTCGTCGTTGTTGTCGTTGGCGTTGGTGTTGTTGTTGTTGTAAACTTTTCACATTTTCATCTTCTTCTCAAGAACCACTGGGCCAAATCAACCAAACTTGCCACAAAGCATCCTTGGGTAAAGCAGATTCAAGTTTGTTCAAATGAAGGGCCACGCCCTCTTTCAAGGGGAGATAATTAGGAATTAGTGAAAAAATAATGGCATCATTTAAAAATCTTCTTCTCAAGAACCACTGGGCCAGGAAAGATGAAACTTATGTGGAAACATCCTCAGGTAAAGTAGATTCAAGTTTGTTCAAATCATGACCCCCGGGGGTAGGGTGGGGCCACAGTTGGGGATCCAAGTTTTACATAGAAATATATAGGAAAATATCTTAAAAAATCTTCTTCTTAAGAACAGTAAAGCCAAGATTGGTCATATTTATATGGAAGCATCCTCAGATAGTGTAGATTCAAGTTGGTTCAAATCATGACCCCCGGGGGTAGGGTGGGGCCACGATGGGGGATCCAAGTTTTACATAGAAATATATAGGAAAAAATCTTTAAAAATCTTCTTCTTAAGAACAGCAAAGCCATGATTGGTCATATTTTTATGGAAGCATCCTCGGGTAGTGTAGATTCAAATTTGTTCAAATCATGACCCCCGGGGGTAGGGTGGGGCCACAGTGGGAGATCCAAGTTTTACATAGAAATATATAGGAAAATATCTTTAAAAATCTTCTTCTTAAGAACAGTAAAGCCAAGATTGGTCATATTTATATGGAAGCATCCTCAGGTAGTGTAGATTCAAGTTGGTTCAAATCATGACCCCCGGGGGTAGGGTGGGGCCACAGTGGGGGATCCAAGTTTTACATAGAAATATATAGGAAAATATCTTAAAAAATCTTCTTCTTAAGAACAGTAAAGCCAAGATTGGTCTTATTTATATGGAAGCATCCTCAGGTAGTGTAGATTCAAGTTGTTTCAAATCATGACCCCCAGGGGTAGGGTGGGGCCACAATGGGGGATCCAAGTTTTACATAGAAATATATAGGAAAATATCGTTAAAAATCTTCTTCTTAAGAACAGTAAAGCCATGATTGGTCATATTTATATGGAAGCATCCTCAGATAGTGAAGATTCAAGTTTGTTCAAATCATTAACCCGGGGATAGTTTGGGGCCACAATGGGTGATCAAAGTTTACAGAGGAATATATAGGAAAAAGTCTTTTTCTCAAGAACAGAAAAGCCATGATTAGTCAAATTGATATGGAGGCATCTTTGGGTAGTGTAGAATGAAATGTGTTCAAATGAGGGCCCCCGGAGGTAGGGTGGGGCCACAATGGGGGATCAAATTTTTACAAATGAATATATGGGGAAAAAAATCTGCTGCTCAAGAACAACAAAGCCATTTGTTATATTGATATGAAAGCATCATCAGGTAGTTTAAAATTCAACACCCCCTCCCTGTAAACTTTTCAATACTGTACTGATTTTTGCTTTTTTCCCTAGCCAATGTGCTCAGGTGAGCGATGTGGCCCATGGGCCTCTTGTTTCAAATATCTGTATTTTTTTTTAATTGGGTGCATATAGTAATTTCTTTATTTTGTGAAACTTAAGGGATTGCGGTTGAAAACCCATTTGAGTGCAATTTTATGTACAGGTCATTTCAGCATATATATGCATGTATGTGTATATCCCACCCAGTGTTTCTCGATTGATTTATTTAAATACATTAAGTACATGAATGTAGGCATTTCATGTTTCATATTTCCTACACATTTCTCTTCTTCTATAAGATAATGCTAAAGCATAAATCATTTACACAGCTGTTCAGAGCTGCTTTCTTTAACTGGAGCCAGTCTATTTGACTTCATTTTCAGAATCATTCAGCATGCACAGTGTCCAATGAGAAAGGGAAATGATATTCTTTTGGGACTGTATTTAATTACAAGCTTGCATCATATTGCAGTTTATTATCAATAGATTGTTTGACAGGTTGACCATTTCAAAATGTGTCTGCATTTTGCTACATATGAGAGTGCCATGAACTTTAGATGTTCTGTGATAATTGTTGTTTTTAGCCATTCCAGTTGTACTGTTTATGTTACTAGCATGAACAAGTTGTTAGGTGGAATTCACTTATAAATATTATCTGTCTATACAAAGTAAATTCTCTAAAATTAACTCTTGATTAACGTTTTGATGGTAAAATATTGATCAGAAATCAAAATGAGAGGTGAAATTTTTGTATGTTCTTTGTACACATTGATCTGTATATTGAAACAAGACAATTTGTTGTTGTTTGGAATGGTCATCTGACGAAGACATTGTATCTATATTCTTCATAAGAGAGGTCAAGATCTAGAAATTAGGGTGCATTCACATTTTAATTAGAAAAAAAATAATCATGTATACTTTTTTCCTCATGCAGCTGAATTAATTTTTGTGTGTAAAATAGTCGAGCTAAATCTCTTCTCACTTTTTTTTTTGAAGTAACAGTTTTCACATTGTAATCATCATTTCATGGAAGATCCAGTTATTACATGCAACACCAGAAATCCTGCTTTTTTTCATAAAATGAATTTGATAATTATTTTTATTTGTAAAAAGTTCAGTATGAATACAGTTATGAGGCTAAATTATGAGCAATTGTACATACCAGTAGAATATTTCAATAAAATTTCTTCTGTTTCTATTTCAAAATGTATGAAAATTTTTATGACATTGTATTTAAGGACAAAACAGCTAGATCTTGACCTAAAATTCATACAAATGATCAATGCAGTTGTTTTTCTCGAATTTAGAAGTTTCAAGGCTTAATCTGCAAAAAGCATCATCAGTTTCAACACTACGAAGAGGAGGCAGTGATAGTCATCAGAATTAGTCTTTTCATAGCTATACATTGCTTTTATTAAATGTTGCGTGCTTTTTCATATGTTATTTGTCAAACATGATCTGATAATAAATGTTTTAAAATATTCCAAAGTTTTAATTTGATAGTGGTTTAATTACGATAAGCTACCAGTTTATGGACAATCTTGCAGAGGACATATTAAACATTTTTCATAATGAACAAGATGTGTTTGTGAAACATTGATGCCCCCGTATGACAACTTATAGCAAAGGTTAAACTTTCTCAAATGCAAATCAAAATATGATGGTACCCAAAGTAAGGTCTCGAGGAATAAACCTGTGATATATGAAAGCCCTAGCAGCAACCATTGAATAGATGTGGAAAAGGTTAAATTTTTTTTTTAAGTATGTCAAACATCAAGGTCAAGGTCAAATGGTCAAAATTAATTATGCCCAAGGAAAGGCCGTCTCCCAAGAAATACACAGGTGAAATATGAAAGCGAAGCACCAATTGTTAAAAGTTGTGACCAAGGTTAAAGTTTTCCAAAAGAAGGTCAAACTCCAAGGTCAAGGTCAAAGGGTCAAAGTTTTTGGTATCCAAAGAAAGGTCTTGTCACAAGGATTACATATGTGAAATATGAAAGCCCTACCACCAACCATTCAAAAGTTATGGCCAAGGTTAAAGTTTTCCAAAAGTAGGTCAAACTCCAAGGTCAAAGGGTCAAAGTTGTTGGTATCCAAAGAAAGGTCTTGTCACAGAGATTTAATAAATTATGTGAAATGTGAAAGCCCTATCGCCAACCATTCAAAAGTTTTGGCCAAGGTTAAAGTTTTCCAAAAGTAGGTCAAACTCCAAGGTCAAGTTCAAAGGGTCAAAGTTGTTGGTATCCAAAGAAAGGTCTTGTCACAAAGATTACATACGTGAAGTATGAAAGCCCTAGCACCAAGTGTTCAAAAGTTATGGCTAAGGCTAAAGTTTTTCAAAAGTAGGCCAAACTCCAAGGTCAAAGGGTCAAAGTTGTTGGTATCCAAAGGAAGGTCTTGTCACAAGGATTACACATTTGAAGTATGAAAGCCCTAGCACCACAAAAGTTATGGTGAAGGTTAAAGTTTTTCAAAAGTAGGTCAAACTCCAAGGTCAAAAGGTCAAAGTTATTGGTATCCAAAGGAAGGTCTTGTCACAAGGATTACACATGTGAAGTATGAAAGTTCTATCACCAATTGTTCAAAAGTTATTGCCAAGGTTAAAGTTTGGTAAAATTTTGCAAGACTGGGTCAAACTCCAAGGTCAAGGTCAATAGGTCAAATATGGTGGTATCCAAAGAAAGGTCTTGTCACAAGGAATACACATGTGAAATAGGAAAGCCATAACTCCAACCAATCAAAAGTTATGGGCAAGGTTAAAGTTTTCGGGGACAAACAGACAGACGGACGGACAGGGCAAAAACTATATACCCCCGAATCTTCGATATGGGGGCATAAAAACAGATATATAGGCTTAATAATGAGGTCAGTATACTGCCTTATGAACTTCTGATTAACAAATTAATTTGAAATATGGATGTAAGGAAGTAATATCGACTGTCTCTGGTGGTTGTTTTGGTTCTTTTTTTTTTTAACTGTGCCACATTGATTATGTTGATGAAACACAACTTTTGTTTGTTTAGGTAAATAAGACATTTCTTTAGATTTTCTATATTAATATATGAAACAGAAAATATTTATATATTATTTAATGTATTGAATTTCCCTCAGGATCTACCGGTAATTTTGCTTTACATGCTCATCCCATTTTATACAATTTTGTATACTACTTTAAAGTGTCATGGCCATCTCTAGATAGCAAGGTGGGTGTAGACCATAATGTAATGATCCTGTTCCAATTTACAGGGACCTGGTATAGACATCAAATCCAAAGTCTGGTCAGATGGGGAAACAGTTGAAGGACCAATAGACTTTCATAGACAATGGAATGGATTGTAGTAAATGTAAAAAATTATTAGTACACTCAAAAGTTAGGACAATCTCTGTGGTCGACTGATTAGCGCAAATGTACGTTAGTGCACTTGAGTCTTGAAACAATTAGTATTGATTGAAATGGCAAGTGAATTAATAAGAGGATATGAAGCAGCCCGAAGCAGTTTCAGAACTTGGATAACTGGACTCTTGGATACCTGAAGTCATAAGTTTAACTGACAGGGGATAATGTGGTTTGACTGCATTAAATGCTGCATATTAATCATTCGTGAAAAATCCATAGCTTGCCATAATGAGATGGATATACATGTATGTGTGATAATAGTAAAAAGATTGCCTTCAGTTAAATTTTGCCATAAAAATAAATAAAACTTCTTCCAATGTATATGATTTGTTTTAATTCTGAAATAGTCTTTAATAAAAAACAATATAGATGACACAGGTTTTTAAAAATTTGAGGAACTGCAAGTTGAGATGGTTTTCTTCCTTCACAACACAAAGATGACATCAAAACAGGTAGAAAAATATAAAAGAACTGCATACTGCATTGTAAAACAATTTCAAGTATTGTGACTAAGAATATAACAAAATGGAAGTTATGAGCCCCTGCTCCCATTTCATATGAATGTATATCACGTAATTTGAAACATGACAGTGGGCAAGATCAACAAATACTTATCCAAAAATGCTGATATGTTATTAACAACAAGCACTTGGTGCCAAATATTGAGGTTCATAAACCCTCTGCCCACTCATATAGAATGTTGCTTTAACTCTTATGATTTTCCAAAGTAAATAAAATACAAACAATTGTAGCATAGCTTCCTGGGCAAAAATTGGACAAAAAAAAGACATTTCAACTTTGCAAATTTATGAAGGAATAAATAAGACATTAATGTTGTTAAGAGTTATGTCTCTTATCAGAGTATCGATGAACTTTTAAGACGTTCATAATTACAAAATATAAAATTTAGTAAATGTAGGATGTGTACATTATAAACGAAGGACTTGCACTCTTGGTAGATAGTAAAGTATCTGAAATTGAGTCTTGGTAACATACATGATAATTCAGCTGTTAGTAGAAAATTGCAAATAAAAATCACTAAACATGTATATTTTTTTTAAAAACTCAATTCTGTACATTAAATTACACAATATGAGAGTACTTGTCAAAACACCTAAAAAGTAGTTTAATGCCCTGATCACACAGAGAGTTTAATTCAAATGAAATGCAAGTTAATGCAAATTAAATCTGAACAGCATTCACATGGAAAACTTAGCATGAATTAGTTTAATTCGAATTTACTGCACTTTAAGATACTTCACATCATCACCGTGTAAATGCTAAGTGATAATAAATTTTGATCCATGTGTAATAGCAAAAATTAAGTCACATGCCACATGTCGGTGGTCAGGTATAGGTAATTAATAATCTATTCTTTAGTGGAAATGTTAATTACTAAAAATATTTGCAGATACCGTAACATTATGTTGGTACTCTGCATAAGATAAAGTAACTTGCAAATGACATCAAAATAGCCTAATCAAATTTTATTTTGCATTACCTCTTCACATTAATTGTCATGTGATCCATATTTAATTCGATTAATTTAATTTGCATTACCCTGGTATTTTACATTCCACCGTCTCTGAAAGTCTATTTGTGTGAGCAGGGCATAACAGTCACAATAATCTAGTTTAATCAGATCACTCTAGATATTATATATGATATCACAATGCTTTGTTTATAAAAAAAAGAAATACAATCGCAGATGTAAAATTAGACGACAATTGTAAACAGTCCGTATAATCACTCTTTTGGAGCTGTTACAAACACTTAACATACCGGGTTTCACAAAAAGAGAAGCAGTCCTCAATCTATAGAGTAATTTCACTATACTTGTCTGTACTTTGATCTGCTTTCCAGTTTCTTGAAGAAAAAAATGATAAATCGATGGGAATAAATAATTTGCATCAAGTATTGAGAATTTCATGCATGTTGTTGACCAATCAGAGATTCGTCTCCTTAGTAACCAGGTGGATTGATTGGATCTCCGTAAGCACACCTGGACTCTATAGCTAGATTGTAGTCATTGCCTTTCCCTCCATCATAGGCACTGGTCACGATTCTCAACCATCCGTGTTCACCCTAAAATTGAGAAAGTCAAATGTTTGGCTTGCGTCTTCTTTCAGTTATACATGGTTAACATACAATAGATCTGAAGAAATTATCTGTCCAATCGCAATACATCTAGAGAGATGTCAAATTTATTTTTGTTTTAAACACATAATCTATATATATAATAAAAAAATTCTTCTTCCGACTGATATTTAGGCCAAATTTTTTAAAATGCTTCTATAAATAATTTTGGGACCAAACTATTTTTGGTATTTTGAGGAGGGAATTGCCAGCTGCTGCTGTTTCATTGACAACACTGACAATGAGTCTGTGATTTCCTTACCCAGGGGTCTCCCCAAGAGTTCCTTACTATCCAGTATTCTGTTTTTGTAGCTGGATCCACTCCCCAGCCTGCTACTGACACAATGTGGTTTACCTAGTGATCAAATAAAGAAATATGGATATATAATATTATTTACATATTGTATAACATTTTTCCTATCAAATTCTAACTGAATTTTCATTACTATTGGGAGCATTTTCTTTTCTGTATAAATTCCACCAGTGTATGCTTCTAGTTTATCTGTAGCATCTATTCCACAACTGAGAAAAAAAAACAAAAACATTCATATAAAACATTAAAGTGCAATACACAATAAATAAAACAAGAGGCCCACGGGCCTTATAGGTCACCTGAGTATCGCGTAACAACTTTCTAACAATTGAATTTGGTTTGTATTTTGCACCAGAGGCCATGTAATTCACAATTTTGAAAGAGGCACTATTGCTCATCATAACTATACAGTTAGCATGCTTACTTTGATTACTTAATACCCAGAGGCAGAGCAGAGGAACAAAAACAAGAGAAGTAGGAAGATCAGGATCAACAAAATAATTAGTCTAGTATTCACTATCAACTCAGAAATTGAGTTCTAATCTGTCCCCCACTTAACACTATCACCATGCAGACTATTAACAAACTATTAGTGCTTCTGTACTATTTTTAAACCCATATTAAGATCTCTAGCATTGACCTCTCTTATGGTCTTTGAAGAACTTTTAATAAGTTATTTTTGTCTCATTTTTATTTATCTATTACTTACAGGTCTACCTGATTATTAAAACTAAGAAAGTACTTTTTTAATTATACGATAAACATTCTTGCATAATTATCTTATTCTATTAACCTTTCAAATACATTATTTACAGTGATTAATTATCAAAGGTGAATGGAAAGGGGAATAACTTCTCTCAGTAGAATACAAATTAATAGAGCCCTGCCCAGGACCAGAATGCTTAGACAAATGGTCCAGATGTTTAAAAATCTGGTAGAAATACGCTTACTCATATCATTTAAACTTTTATTCAGTTTGCTTCCGATATGCCCAGAAGCAGAGAAGAATTTCACAGGTACAATGCATTTTCACTACAGATTCAACAAAGCCTTACCCTAACACCAGAACCCAAGACCAAGGGTCAAGAAATTTACAAATTTGGAAGAGTTACCCTCATCATCATTACTATGGATTTCAAAGAATTAACACTTTTCCACTATATTATCAAAAGCCCCCCCCCCCCCCCCCCCCTCGTTATGCCAGAACCCCTGACCCTAGGACCACAAGATTTTAAAATTCTGTTCGAAGCTCCCATTTTCATCATAGCTAAGCAATTTATCTATCAGCTCAACACTAAGGAGCCGACAGGATTAATTAATGATTAATTAATAGAATTAATGCTTTTTCACTATATAATCAATAGAGCCCCCCCCCCCCTCCTCAAGAACCCTAAAAACTGAGGCGATATATTTAAAAATTTTGGAAGAGGCATCCTTGTCTATCATAATCATGCACTTAGTTTGTTTAAATAATCTCCAGTAGCAGAGTCGAAGATTTTCAAAGAATCAATGCATTTTCACTATATAATCAATAGAGCCCCGCCCTAACACCAGAGCCCCTGACCCTGGGGCCATGAAATTCACAATTTTGGAAAAGGCATCCTTATGCATCATAACCATGCACTTAGTTTGTTTAAATAATACCCAGGAGCAGAGAAGAAGATTTTCAAAGAATTAAAGCATTTTCACTATATAATCAATAGAGCCCTGCCCTAACACCAGAATCCCTGACCCTGGGGCCATGGCTTTCACAATTCTGGAAGAGGCACTCTTGCTCATCATAACTATGTACTTAGTTTATCACCTTAATGCCCAGGAGCAGAGGAGAAGATTTTCAAAGAATTAATGCATTTTCACTATATAGTCGATAGAGCCCTGCCCTAACACCAGAACCCCTGCCCCTGGGGCCATGAAATTCACAATTTTGGAAGAGGCACTCTTGCTCATCATAACTATGTACTTAGTTACTGAATTTAATACCCAGGAGCAGAGAAGAAGATTTTCAAAGAATTAATGCATTTTCACTATATAATCAATATAGCCCCGCCCTAACACCAGAACCCCTGATCCAGGGGCCATGAAATTCACAATTTTGGAAGAGGCACTCTTGTTCATCCTAACTATGTACTTAGTTACTGAATTTAATACCCAGTAGCAGAGAAAAAGATTTTTAATGAATTAATGCATTTTCACTATATAATCAATAGAGCCCCGCCCTAACACCAGAATCCCAGATCCTGGGGCCATGAATTTCACAATTTTGGAAGAGGCACTCTTACTCATCATAACTATATACTTAGTTACTTTATTTAATACCCAGGAGCAGAGAAGAAGATTTTCAAAGAAATAATGCACTTTCCCTATATGATCTATATAGCCCCACCCTAGCACCAGAACCCCTGACCCTGGGGCCATGAATTTCACAATTTTGGTAGAGGACTCAATGCTCATTACAATGATGCCAACAGTTCGACTGCTTGATGTCCAGGAGTAAAGAAGAAGATTTTTAAAGATTGCATTAATTTTGGTGGTTTTAGCCCCACCCCTCAGGCCCCAGGGGGGCAGGGACCATGAAATTCACAATTTTTGTTCCCCTTCACCCATAGATACTATATGCCAAATTTGGTTGAAATTGGTTGAGCGGTTCCAGAGAAGAAGCTAAAAATGTTCAAAAGTTTACGACCGACGTACGACGACGGACGAAAACGGATAGCAATAGGTCACCTGAGTTTACTCAGGTGACCTAAAAACCATAATTTGAACCATTACTGAAATAAAGTTTACAGACAGAAAAAAATGATAGCAATTAGATTACCTAAGTGAATGAAGTGACCTTTTCAAAAATGTTAAATGATGGTCAATATCAATATAAATAAATGCTAAAGAATTTTAAAAAAGCCATTTTATTAAATAAGTTTAATTTTTTGTTCAGAATAAAATTTTTTCAGCTTGAATTTTCACTTCCCAAATGAGTTACAATTTTTCCAGAGTAGGCCTTACTAGAAAACTAACACAGTCAGGGAGGGCCCTGCTGAGGGCAGCATCACAGGAAAGTGACGACTGTCTTGATACGTACAGTAATAATAATAAAAACAAGAGGCCCATGGGCCACATCGCTCACCTGAGTAACTTTGGCCATGCTGTTCATTACCAGACTTCCCCCCTTGTAATACCTATTGTGGCCCCGCCCTACCCCCGGGGGTCATGATTTTAACAATTTAGAATCAACACTATCCCACGATGCTTCCACATAAGTTTCAGTTTTTCTGGTCCAGTGGTTCTTGAGAAGATTTTTAAAGATTTTTCCTATATATTTTAATGTTTCCCTATTGTGGCCCCGCCCTACCCCCGGGGTCATGATTTGAACAATTTAGAATCTACACTATCCCAGGATGCTTCCACATAAGTTTCAGCTTTTCTGGCTCAGTGGTTCTTGAGAAGAAGATTTTTAAAGATTTTTCCTATATATTTCAATGTAAAACTTGGATTCCCTATTGTGGCCCCGCCCTACCCCCGGGGGTCATGATTTTTACAATTTAGAATCTACACTACCCCAGGATGCTTCCACATAAGTTTCAGCTTTTCTGGCTCAGTGGTTCTTGAGAAGAAGATTTTTAAAGATTTTTCCTATATATTTCTATGTAAAACATTGATTCTACATTGTGGCCCCGCCCTACCCCCGGGGGTCATGATTTTTACAATTTAGAATCTACACTACCCCAGGATGCTTCCATATAAGTTTCAGCTTTACTGGCCCTGTGGTTCTTGAGAAGAAGATTTTTTAATGACCCCACCCTATTTTTGTCTTCTCTTGATTATCTCCCCTTGTGAGGGGACTTGGCCCTTCATTTTAACAATTTAAATTCCCCTTCACCCAAGGATGCTTTGTACCAAGTTTGGTCAAAATTGGCCCAGTGGTTCTTGAGAAGAAGTCAAAAATGTGAAAAGTTTACAGACGGACGGACAGACAGACAGACAGACGGACAGACGGACGGATGGACGGACGACGGACAAAATGTGATCAGAAAAGCTCACTTGAGCCTTCGGCTCAGGTGAGCTAAAAATATAGCATGCAGGAAGGTGACATGGTCAAATTACTCACACGTGTTAGAATTACTTTTAAAGGAATGAATTTTAAAGTTTAATGAGTATAACCTGGGTTGGAGCAGTTTATAAAAATGCATAAACTGCTCCAACTGAGGTTATACGACAGTAGTGTGCTTGTGTTTTGAGAGATGTTTACCTTGATTAGAGGTCAAGGCCTTTTCTAACTTGTGTCATTTACACCATACTCTTTACTTTTAAATTAACAATTTTCTTGGAACCTTTTACAGTTATAGTAAAACATGCTTATAACGAAGTGCCAGGGACAGACGAATTTGCTTTGTTTAAGTGTAATACTTTATATCCGTTAAGTTCACAATATATATTTTAAATTAAAGCCACGGGGCATGAAAACCACTTTGCTGTATCTGTTAATTCATTATCTTAAGCCTGTTTGCTATAAGCATGTTTTAGTGTACATAAAAATAACAAATGGGATCGTTGGGTTCATTTTACTAGAATTGTATAGACTACACCTGACTCAAGTAAGGAACAAATGACACTGGTCTATGTGTAAACTGTGCTGTGATTATCTGCAGGGAGATGCATTACTGAGTAGACAGAATAATGTGTACTACCTATCTATAGCCCAATAGATATGATTAAAATTAGGAAACATGTACTAGAAGCTAAACCATATTTTCCAGGAAATACAAATAATTCCCAGGAATTAACAGTATTTCCCACTGTCTTGGGAAATAGAAGACACAGAGAGAAAATAATATGACCCCAGAATTTATATGTGTTTTGTAATGTATTTCTGTACAAAAAGATTTGAAAATGTTACAGTGCTAAAAAAGTTTCAGTAGTTGAGTCACAATGAAAGTGTTGATCCCCACACAGACAATTTGACTTTTTTGACAGACTCACGTGATTCCTAAAGGGCTGCTGGATTTGGGGCCCTTAAAATGTTATCATATGTATTGGAAAAGAGCATGGTTTTCTCTTTCCAATTGCACTCTTGTGCATATAAAGAATACACTACCTCAGTTTCTCATAGTCTCACCTGATTGGCCCATTTTTATAAATTTCAGCCATCATTTTATCTCGACCTTTAACGGTTCCATAGTCTGACACCTTCCACAGTGTGTAGTTATTCAGCTGAAAACATTTGCCAAATGTGACACAAGTTCCACATTGGTTGAACGAATCACATTCTGTAATTTTAAAACAAGAACAAGAAAATTTATTTAAAGGCAGAAATACATGAAATTCATTGGAATACTTTTTCTTTATATGTCATGGTCAGAGTGCAATCACTTGTACTTGGTTGAGTTTATTAACTTGACGTTTGAATGCAGGCAATTTTTATGTCTTGTCCAGTGAAAAACCATGAAATTTGTCAGTAAATTGCCCACTAGAACCACTGGGGACATAAACTTCACAACTTTGTCAAAAGACTAGCTGGTCATTATTATTATGCAAACAGCTTGCCTGCTTTGTCCATGAGAAAAGAAAATTTTCAAAGGTACATGTATTTTCAATATACAATCATTTAGGGCCATCCTAGGGCCTGAACCCTGGACCCAAAGGGCATGAATTTAAAAATTTTGATAGAGGGCTTATAGCTCAATATGATCCTGCAAACTGTTTACATACATGTCCATGAACTAAGAAGATTTCCAAAGTTAAAATGAGTTTTTGATATGATGATGAACAACTTTGCCCCATCCTGGGGCCTGAACCTTGGATCCAGGGAAAATTTCATAATTTTGATAGAAGGTTAGCTATACTCATTATTATCATGCAAATAGTCTGCCTATTGTGTAAAGAAAAAAATTCAAAGGTGTAATGTATTTTCAATATTTGATTAAATGTAGACCCACTATGGGGCCCAATCCATGGGTTTAGGGTTTCATCAATGATATACTTTTGGTAGAGGACTAACATTGATCATTAAAATCATACAAACAGTTTTTCTTCTAGATGCCCAGGAGTACTGTAAACCAACTTTTATTTACAAGAAATACCTGGGAGTTTCACGACCTTGCTTCAACCATGAATATTTCTCGCCTCAAACTATTTATTTTATTTATGGAGAATATTTCCTCATTCCCAAAACTAAGACATCATGGATAGATTTGAAACTGACAAATTGAAAATAAAAGTTGTCATGAATGATAGGTGGTTTACAATATATATGATTTTTTGAAGACTGCATGAACTTTGATAGTTTGGCCTTGAATACCTCTATGGCCCCAGCAGGACCTGGGACCATGAAATGAAATGAAATTTTTGTTCCTTTTTTATCCATTGATGCTTAATGCCAAAAAATTCAGCTCAGCCATTTCATAAAAAAAGCTGAATATTCAAAATTAATGGATGATCCACAAAGGACAACAAGAGATGGGGACAGATAGCAAAAGGTCACCTGAGTGACCCAGGAGATCTAAATATGCCTATTTATATACCCTGTGATAAATTTGCACAAAAAATATACACAAATAAAGTATTTGATCAATTTTGGCAAAAAAAATACAATATCAATATAGCCTAGCTATGATTAACCAAAAATTGAATATCCATATATGAAAATTATGAAATATGCTTATTCTCTCAAAATTTTCATTTTTTATATACTTTGATCCTTTGCCTGATAATTGTTGCAGGTTTCATCTGGAATACCATGTGAGTGAGCATACTTCCACACCCCTACATCATCCCCTCCTTCACAGCTTCCTGCTCCCCCACAGTCTATCACATGCTGTACAGAAAGGTACGCGGAAGGCCAAGCACCTTTACGCTTAATGTTGATTCTGTCTGCAAAAGCACTGGTGGATCCCATTCCCCAGCAAGAACCACAGTCTGGAAAAAAAGATCTATCAGAATGATTGCACATCTCAATAAGAGGCCAATAAGCCACAACACTAACCTGAGTAACTTTAGCCTGGCTTTCTTGAGAAGACATTTAAAAGATTTTCCTACTTATTCCTTTGTAAATTTCCTACAAGATGATGATCTTTTCTTATCTATTCCTTATTTAAAACTTTGATCCTCCATGGTGGCACATCCTTGCAACGAGATGCATTGATTGAACCAAACTTACACTACATAGGAATGGTTGCATATCAATATGACTACCATTAATTGTCATCCTACTGTTTTTTTTATTAGAAATATAAAAATTTCTATATAGATGGATCCCTGTTGAGACATTCTGGCAGCCAGAATTACACTACATGGGGAAGCTGGCATATCAAGAAGTCAAACTGAGGCCCTGCATTTTTTTTTAATAAGATATACAATTTTCCAAACATATTCCCATGTAAAACTTCTGACCCCTTTTACAGTCCCATCCTAGTCCCAGGAGCCCCAATATGAATAAATTTGAATCTACAACCATTCAGTTTCCACTTAAGTTTTGTCTCACTTGGCCAAATGGTTCTTGAGAAGAAGATTTTTAAATGGACCCCGCTGTAGATCCTCTATTTCAAAATCATCTTCACTTAAAGGAATGTGGCCATTTATTTGAACAAATTTGAATCCCCTTCACGTAAGGATGCTTTGTGATAAGTTTGGTTGCAATTGGCCGAGTCGCGTTCATGAAAAGAAGTTTAAAATGAAAACCAAACAAATGACCACTGTGAGAGAGATTATAGAATGACGTGAACACAATTTGATAAGAAAAGCTTGATCAAGCATTCAAATCAGGTGAGCTAATGAGTTAATATCATGATGAATATGCAAACTTTTATAATTTCATTCTCTTAATAAATTAAATCTGCTATATCCAATCACATATATTCTACTCATGCATGTATTCAACCAATTAATGTTTTTCAATGTTGATCATTCAGATTATTATACTTTTTTGACGCTGTGGAATTTTAAAACATTATTATGTGTAGCATTAATTGCATAGTATCATGAATAAATAATTGATTATTGCCCTTGCAATCACACTGAACAGAATATCACAGGAATTTTCTTTTTTCTACATAAGGCTATTTTTCTACACTATCAGTATGTAGGCACCAACAGGAATTGAAATGGGTATTGCATGGGCGTGCACATCATCAATATTTTCCATTTCTTTCAATTACTATTACAATAAATTAAAGGACATTCTTATTAATTACTAAAAATTATCAATTCTTTTTCCCAAACTGTAAAAGATGTCTGGAATTATTGTATATTTCATGAAATGGCGCCCACATATTTTGAATAATCCATAGACTGTACCTAATATTTAACTTCTGTCTCTCACTTTCACTTACAATGTAATAATTAATTAATAAACCATCCTCTACAGACACATCAGTCCAAATATGGTTAGATAAGATAAATTTGTAAAAGGGAGTTAAATTCCCTTGGCATATACCAGTACACTTTTTAAACATTTTTTTGTTTCCTTTTAAAGACCAAAAGAATCTAACACAAACCTAACCAGAAATGAACATTTAAAAAAAAAAACATGGGGATGAATCATGATGAGATCTTCATTTAAACCATGTTTCATTCAAATAAAAAAAACTGCATGAGAATTAAGTAGCATTTTGAAATGAAATATATAATTAAATCAAACAAAAATTGAAGGAGTGACATTATTTAATTTTAAATGATTCTCCCATTTTTATTTTGATAACCACTGCAAAAGCATTAAAGTATACAAAGTTAGGTATTTTTATGTCATCAACACTGTCTTACTCCAAGTTTATTTTGACCAGTAAAGCTAATCAGACAAAACTGTAGCAGGAATAGTATTACCGGTATACAAATATAGCCCTTTCATGAGGTCGATCAATTGATATATCGACTTCACAGAAAAGCATATCGACGGAGCAGGAAGTCTATATATCTATGGATTGATCGAATGAAAGAACTTCATTTGTTAAATTATTTTTTACAAAGATTTACAAAACAGAATTCTGTAAATAATGGGAACAAACCACAGGTTTTCCCTCTTGTCTTTTTTTTAACACAGAGATTCAGAGATCAAAATAAATTAAGCTGTTTAATGTCATTGTGTTGCATTTATATTGATAGAGTTATAAGGGAATGCACCAATTAAAAAGGCTACATTTGTTTTATTATATTTTATGTCAATTTATGAACTAGATGTGTCGCAACGCCACGAATGCCCTTGCAGGCAGCCAAAATTTCAAGTGTCATATGTATTTAGTTTTAAATTTGTTAGTACTAAAGATTTTTTTTCTAACAGGATCTCCATTTCTGGATAGGAAGTCTTCTTCACCATGTCTGATGCAAGTTAATCTGAACTCACAGTTATGCACAAAATGTGCATTTATAATAAGATAATAAATAAAAACTCCAAATTGTAAATTGCACATTTGTAGCCAAGATAATGACACCTAGTGGTACTACAGTAGTTTGTTGTCACTTACATTGAGGAATGTGTTGGTTCCTAACAGTACATTGTACTGCAGTAGTTTGTCACTTACACTGGAAATGTGTTGGTTCCTACTTCCTAGTATTACTACAGTAGTTTGTTGTCACTTACATTGAGGAGTGTGTTGGTTTTTAGTGGTACTACAGAAGTTTGTCACTTACAATGAGGAATGTGTTGGTTTCTAGTGGTACTATATTGTTGTCACTTACAATGATGAATGTGTTGGTTCCTAGTGGTACTGCAGTAGTTTGTCACTAACAATGAGGAATGTGTTGGTTCCTATAGGTACTACAGTAGTTTATTGTCACTTACATTGATGAATGTGTTGGTTTCTAGTGGTACTATATTGTTGTCACTTACAATGATGAATGTGTTGGTTCCTAGTGGTACTGCAGTAGTTTGTCACTTACAATGATGAATGTGTTGGTTCCTAGTGGTACTACAGTAGTTTGTTGTCATTTAAATTGAGTAATGTGTTGGTTCCTATAGGTACTATATTGTTGTCACTTACATTGAGGAATGTGTTGGTTCCTAATAGTACTACAGTAATTTGTTGTCACTTACATTGAGGAATGTGTTGTCTTTGTTTGTAAGGCTCATTATATTAAATGTATTTTAGAGGAACTAGGATTTAATTCTACAAGTGGTAACCCAACTTACACTCATAGTTTCCTTTCTAAGGAAGAAATTCTTCAAAATTATATGTCAGTTTTGAATATTTTTAATATTCCAAACAACCAAAATGAATTTGAATTACCATATTTATATTGGATTCCAAAACTTCATAAAAATCCTTTCAAACAAAGATACATAGCGGGTTCCAGTATATGTTCAACCAAGCCTCTTTCTTTACTCCTCACTAAGATATTAACAGTAGTGAAGGAGAAACTTCAAGAGTACTGTGCAACAATATATTCGAGAAGTGGTGTAAATCAGATGTGGATACTTCAGAATTCCAAGGAACTTTTGGAAAATTTGAAATCACAAGATTTTACCAAAATCAACAGCTTAAAAACTTACGACTTTTCAACTTTATACACAACCATTCCCCATGATAAATTAAAGTCCAGGCTTTTTGATATCATTGACAGCTGCTTTTTCAATAAAAATGGAACTCGTAAATTTACTTACCTTGTCATTGGTCATTTGCAAAATTATTTTGTTAAAAAACATTCTGATTGTACACACAAGTACTCTGAAGTTGACATTAAAAAGATGCTTGAGTTTCTGATTGACAATATCTATGTGGTTTTTGGAGACCAGGTCTTCCAACAATCTATTGGAATTCCCATGGGTACTAATTGCGCCCCGTTATTAGCAGACCTTTTTTTGTATTCATATGAAGCAGAATTTGTCCAAAATTTTGTACGTGAAAAGAAGAAAACACTTGCTGTGGCCTTCAACTCGACATTTAGATATATCGACGACATATTGTCAATTAACAATGGCTATTTCCATTCTTATGTCGATACGATATATCCTGCTGAACTTGAGATAAAAGATACCACAGAGTCTGACACATCTGTTTCATATTTAGATATTTCACTTGAAAAAGACGTTAATGGTAATCTAACAACCAAGCTTTATGATAAACCTGATGACTTTAACTTTTCAATCGTCAACTTCCCTTATTTATGCAGCAATATACCTTCATCACCTGCATACGGGGTATATATCTCTCAGTTGATTCAATACGCAAGAGCATGCTCTACGTATGTACAATTTCTAAAACGAGGTAAATTATTGACAAACAAGTTGATGAAACAAGAATATCAGCTGTCTCGTTTTAAGTCATCATTTCGTAAGTTCTATGGTCGATACAATGACCTTGTCAGCAAATACAATTTATCATTGAGTCAAATGCTGACTGACGTTTCTCATACTAATTGTTAGGCCATTATTTACACACTGAATTGTCGACGGATTTTTCCGTTATTTCCCGATCATGACAAGGAGCACACGGCGGATGTGACCGGTCGGCAGGGGATGCTCACTCCTCCATGGCACCTGATCCCACCTCTGATGTTTGGAGGTCCGTGTTTGCTCTGCTCCTATTTTGTATTGTTTAATGGACTTTTGAGCTTGAATACTAGTGATGGGACATCGGTTAATTTTCATAATTGATCATCGGTTGGAATCGGTTACTGCTTCCGATGCGATTTTACCGATTATAATCGGATTTCATAGTTTTATGTACAAAAAGCAGACTATTACAATTATTTCATATTATTTCTTTAACATGGATATATAAAATATATAATATATTAAATTTTCTTTGTTGTTTTGCTTCTTTTACACTTTCTAGGCCTAAAAAATTATGTTTGTTTATTTCCTGTAACATTCCCAAAAAATCTAGGGTTGGTAGGTCGGGAATTTTTTTTCTTTTTGCTTATGAATAATGGGGTCAAACATCCCGGGTCTGAATTATCTAGGTGTTATATTTACAGTGGACACCCAACATGACTGCCTAGCAGCAGAAAACGAACTTCAAAAAGTTGTTGGGTAGGGATGTGCGATTTTATCGGTATACCGGTATATCGTGATTTTTAATTGCGTGATACGTATCGTGATACACAGACTAAAATACTGGTATTTAGGTACATAGTCATAAATTCCAGAAATTATTCATTTATTTGTTCAATCTTTCAAATTACAATTACAGGAAGTGTAAAAAATGTTGAAATTGCTTGATATTATGTAAATAAAAAAAATGAAGTTATGTTTTCCTGCATATTTATCGGGAAAATTATGAATATTCATTTAAAATCAATATTTTTTTTTTTTTTGGGGGGGGGGGGGGGGGGGTCGTGATATATCGTGATACGAAATTTTTGGCGATACCCATCCCTATTGTTTGGGGGGGGGGGGGGATTGATTACTCCTTATATTTAAGGTAAATGTTGACTAAGTTGCATATCTTATTATTCTTACATCTCAAATAAAAGATACAATTAATATTTTTTGAATAAAAAGAATCAGCTGATTGATCAAACAAAGAGCAAACACAGATTTGGCAGGGAAAAAAATCCACCGGGGGTAAATTGAATGGGTCGGTCGGGTTATAGGAAACAAACATATTTTTTAGGCACTATATATGCACCTTTCGGTTCTTAATCACCTCTGCTTTGTGCTAGTTGGCTAGTATCAGATGCAGACGCCATTTTCATTCATTAAGAAGAAATAAATTTTAAACCAGAAATGGATAATTCCGGAATGTATTGTATTAGAAGTATGTTTCCGATGATCGATTATGAAAAATTATAATCGATCATCGGAATTGGTAGCATTTTTTCGTCGACTATCGATGTTTTCTGATTATCGGTACAACACTATTGAATACTGTTCGTTATCTTCATATATTTCATTTCTAGTGGTACTATATTGTTGTCACTTACATTGAGGAATGTGTTGGTTCCTAGTAGTACTACAGTAATTTGTTCCATTGATGTTTCTCCAGTCCCAGCTCTTAGGAAGGGTATTCATGTCCATATACTCATGTGGGCGGGGATTCTTCCTAGAAATATAACCACACTGTCAAAAAATTCATCATCATTTAGTTACATGTATCATTAAATGATCATATTCACCTCAAATAAAAAATTTACAAAAAAAAAAAATGCAGGCTCATTGGCCACAATTCTTACCTATGGACAATACTTAAACAAATATGCATCTTATTCATGTTATTTGTAGTCACTTTAATTTTATGAACTTCTCTCCGGCTGGTACATGTTTGTTTATACCTTTTATGATAACATGTGACTGAATTAATGGTACATGTTTGTTTATACCTTTTATGATAACATGTGACTGACTTAATGGGAGGGTATGGCCAAAATGCATCCCAAATGCCTCTTTCTGTTTAAGTTTTTGTAAGCGTTATCAAAGGGGAAATACTAATAAAAGTAATCTTCAAGGTCAATTTGATTCCTTTGAACATTCAATCCGTGCATGCTGACTGATATTTATTTCATCTAAAAGTTGTCTTTTGAAATTTCTTTATACACTACCAATCAACAATACAAATTAATAATACTGCATTATTCAAGTGACATCACTAGATATACACTGTACAAATGTAATCATGTTAACCCTCTAAACTTATCTCAAAATAATCAAAAAAAGGAAGTTTTTAATCATTAAAACCTTGCACACCCTTCCCCTGAAATCATTTTTAAGCATCAGACTATATACCATACACAAGATTTTGAAGAATTCTTCATTAGCAGTGCCAGGAAAGTGAATTATGCATCCTCCACAATGCGTTGGAATTTTAAAAATCTTTTTAAGTATTTCCTTAACACTATAACTTCATTATATGCTTGTAGCATTTAGTTTGCATATGAAAAGGGTGGATCCTGAAATTAAGCTAAGAAGGGTCATAAAAATAATAATAATAAAAAATATCCAATAAGCAATAATAATAATACATGTAATAATCATGATAATTATGATACATCAGATACAGATATAATACCTGTATTATATCTTAAAAGTATATTACATATTTTATTTTAACAGATAACTTTTTATTTCCGAAACCATAAAGTGTAGAAAATGTGTTTCTGACAGATGAAAATATTGAGTTCTTGACATTCTTTTATAGAGTTAGTATTTTGATGGTCTGCAAGAACATATATACAAAACGAACAAATTTTCTGAGAACACACAAAAATACTTACCCAACGCGAATTTCCTCCGGATACATCTTCTTAAAACAAGCATGCCGATTGTAAACTTTTGAGTCTTGAAGAGAAACCCAGTCTGACTCAATCTGTTGAGACAAAATTGTCCCAAAAATACAAAACAATAACCCAGCTGTGTTTACTGTGCCCATGTTGATTTCTTCGGTGTATCATATGACGCAGGTCATATGATTTTTCATGCATCACGTGACTTGAAGAGTTTTTTTTCCCCCGGTTTGAAAATTGACCCAAAGTTCATTATTGAACTGAGGGTGCTTTTCCTCCGTTGAAAATTGAAAGTTGTGAAATTTGTACCCGGGGTCGTGTTTCCTACATAATTCCATTGAACATCACTTCAAAATTGCTGCTAGTTCATGAATATAATTTTTAGACATTTGGAAAAAAAATCACACATAATATACGAATTATGAATAATTTTTGTATGTTAATATTCTACGTTATTTTTTGGAATTTTCATATTGAATACTTTTAAATGTGTACTAAAAGATTAATTTATGAAAGAAGACAAATAAAAATATCCTTGGACCCAGGGTGTATATTCAAGGGGGGGGGGATTCCTGTCCACAGGCACCTGTGTTCTAAAGGATAATGAAACACCTGATGAGATGGTCGATTTACAGAAATTGAGCCAACAGTTGAAATGATTAATTCCGTACAAAGACACACATAATTAAAGTCAATTTAAATTCAAAGTAAAGCTTTTTCATTTTTTTGAAAACTCTAAAAATTTTAGTGAGGCATGTGCCTCAGTGGTATAGTTACGGCCTTGTACAATATCAATATGAATACAGGCGCGAATCCAGGAATTTTTCCGGGGGGGGGGGGTCCACCCCAGCGAAAACACATATTTCGTGGTAAAACTAATGGTGGGGTCCACGTTTTCGGGGGGAGGGGGTCAAAGTCATTTTTTATTTGCTTCGGTATACACTTTTAATAACTCTGCAAATTCCAGGGGGGGGGGGGGTCCGGAACCTTCCCAACCCCCCAGATCCGCGCATGGAATATGCCTTTTTCTGGTCCTTTTTTATACATGAAAATATGAAAAATAGCTTTAAAGTTTTTAAATATTATTAAATTGTATTTTAAGAAGAGAAACAACAACAACAACAGAAGAAAAATAACGTTATTAAATACATGTATTACGTAATTTATAAGTATTAATTAATATATTTATAAGTATTAATTAATATCGAGCCAACATCGTGTAGTGCAATGGGGCTAAATTAATGAAGACGAAAATTAAAATACTTTTAGCCGTATTCAGCATGTATGTCATACTTCTCTCCTCACAATCAGGGTTTATAAGGAGAGTAGCGGGTCAGAAACCCTTGGCTAGAGAAGATGGGTATAGCGGTTGCAATCATCGAAGAAAAAATATAAGTATCATTTTGTAAATTTTGAATTTACTGGGTGCACAGGTACTCAACTGTTTCTGCAATATTTTTTTAACCCTTAGTACGTTTTAAAATAAAATAAAGTATCTAACTCCGAATTACATGGAGTACCCACAGGCACTTGTTTCGGTAATAAATTTTTAACCCATAGTATATTTGATAACACAAGGTATCTAACTCCGAATCACACGGAGTACCCCCTCCCCCAGAATCGCACTCATTTACACTTTCAGAGGAAATACACTGACAAACTGTTTATACCTATGTTTTCTACGATAATTTATCTACACAACCATATATGGCATGCTTGTCTTTATTTTCTTTAGTCTCCGTAAACAGCGTCAAAACAAAGTCGAATTCAACCATGAAATGGGATGTGCTAATCCCGCACAGAGAACAAAATTAAAAAAATGAGTGGGTTTAAAAATTCAATTCCAGTGTTTAAATATTGCATGAGTAAATAGAACTTGATTACGTCTGATTTTCCCTGAAAACATTACGACGTTTATCCGATGTAATTTTAGAAACAGATTTTTAGCCAATCAAAATCTCTGTGCGGGATTAGCACATCCCATTTCATGGTTGAATTCGACTTTTCCACACGGCGAGCAGAGTTTTGACGCTGTTTACGGAGACTAAAGAAAATAAAGACAAGCATGCCATATATGGTTGTGTAGATAAATTATCGTAGAAAACATAGGTATAAACAGTTTGTCAGCGTATTTCCTCTGAAAGTGTAAATGACTCTTGAGTGCGATTCTGGGGGAGGGGGGTACTCCGTGTAATTCGGAGTTAGATACCTTGTGTTATTATTATACTATGGGTTAAAAATTTATTACCGAAACAAGTGCCTGTGGGAGTACCCCCCACCCCAGAACCGCATTCATTTACACTTTCAGAGAAAATGCACTGGAAAACTGTTTACTGCCATTATCTCCTACGATAATTGAGCTACACAACCATATATGGCATGCTTGTCTTTATTTTCTTTTAGAAGTCTGGAAATAATAAAATATCTTATTTGAAGCCAATATAAACACAGGCACTTGTTTCTGCAATAATTGTTTTAACCCATAGTATAATAATAATAATATGCTACTATGGGTTCAAAAATTATTACATAAATAAGTACCATAACAGAAACAAGAGGTCCATGGGCCACAACGCTCACCTGAGTCAATATCGCCTTTCTGTTCTTCATCGGCAGACTTTTTTTCCATATACATTGTAAATTCGTATGTAAAACTTTGATCCCCCATTGTGGTCCTTCCCTACTTATATCACGCGGGTCATATTTAAACAAACTTGAATCTACACTACCTGAGGATGTTTAAATATCAATGTGACCACTGACCAACCATCGTTTTGCCACGAAGACAGATTTTTCCTATATAAAACTTTAATCCCCCATTGTGGCCTCTCCTGATCTCCAGATGTCATGATTCGAACATTTGAACTGAATTGAATCTGCACTACCTGAGGATAATTCTATATTAATATGACTATACATGGCTTTGTCTTTCTGGAGATTTTTCCTACATATTCCGACGTAAAATTTTGGTCGCCCATTGTGGCCCCTCCTAATTACCTCTTGGGTCATGATTTAAACGATCTTGAATCGACTCTACCTGAGGATGTTTCCATTCAAATATGACCAATCATGGCTTTGCTGTTCCTGGAAAGAAGATATTTTCTTATACATTCCTACATGTATGTAAAAATATGATCATCCACTGTGGTCCCATCCTCCCCCCCCCCCCCCGGGGGTTATGATTCGAACGAATTTGAATCTCCACTACTTCATGGAGTTTTCACATAAGTTTCATCTTTTCTGGCCAAGTGATTCTTGGGAAGAAGAATTTTAAATGAACCATCATTTTTCAATATTCTTAATTGTCTCCCCTTGGAAGAGGGTGTAACCCTTTACTTGAACAAACTTAAATCCAGTTCATCCAAGGATACTCTGTGCCAAGTTTGGTTGAAATTGGCACTGTGGTTCTGAAGAAGATTCAAATGTGAAAAGTTTATTACAACAACGACTACAAGTTTTCCATCACAAATGCTCACGCGAGCCTTCGGCTCACGTGAGCTAAAAATACCCAAGGACTTTCCATCTCTTCTACATTCAAGAGTGTAGCAAATATCAATCCAATACCAAAGAGATTAACCAAAAAAGTCTTCTGGAAAACAAGTGTCAAGAAGATGGACCGAAAGATATGGTTAGTTCCCCCTTTCACTGGTACAAGCCTAATAATGTTAACAGATGACTACTCTATTTACAGTAACCATGGCAACAGTTTGTCAAAATTTAATGAACATATGTACTGTACATGAGCACCAGTATTTGTTGAAATTGAATAGACTGTCGGAGAAGCAACGTCTTGGAAAGTTTTTTTTCACACAGACGAATAGATGGTCAACATTTTACCAATGCACAAGTTTTCCTAGTCCTTGACAAATTATACAGACACTTAATTTTTTGGAAAGGATGATTCTCTATAAGGTCATTTTCCAGTCTACGATGAAATCATTTAAAAATGTAATTTTACGTAATTTTAATCTCTCTATCTTATGATTTTGGTGTTTATTTTTCAACATCGATCACATTAGTCATGTGATATAGAGATAAAATATGGCGGTCAAATAAAGAAAAAATGAGGGTGGGTCTAATTAAATCATGTTTAAATGCTTGTTGCTTAATTTTATTGGTCGAAAATTGTTTATTTATAAAGAAGACACATCATACTAAAATAATATGTATATGAAATGTTTTAATTAATGATTGAATTAATTTTTCTGGACATAAATAGTGTAGCAGTCATATTTTGTAAAAATTGAATGTAAATCTTTACAAAATGCACACCGCATGACGCAAATAACCGTTAAAATATCATTTATTTTGGTCAGATACTTTATTTAAGTGTATATTGGTATTTCCTACTGTTTTTAAAGATGTGTCACTAATTTTTAGCATAATAAGCCCATATGAGAAATGAGGTGTGGAAGAGTCTTTCAAGATTGAACTGCCAAGGATCTGAATGAAATGCTGAACACATTTTAAGAGCTCTTTTTGTGATTGAATAAACACTCAGTTGTTAATTAAAACAACTAGTTCTAAATTAACAATAAAAAAAAAATGAATAAAAGAATCCATTTACGTGCAGGATGAAAATATACATGTAAATACAAGTCGTTTTTTATATATATCATTTGACCAGTGGATTTATAAAATCTAGAATGGTTATACATGTAATATTGAAAATAATAATGTAGAAAGTGAAAGAACATCTTAAAACTGCTTTGCTTTTATTTAATAACTCGCGTAAATTATCTATGAATTTAATTGAAAGAAAACGTTAATCAAGCAATAATTTACAAATGGCATGTATTTCAAAGCCAACGTCTCTACCCCTCCCTCTTGCATCGACAGAAATTCAAGAAAAAACGCAAAATTTTCAACAGCTCCTTAAAATACTCAAAGATTTTAGAATATGGTCTGACAAATCTGTAACATCAAGGGTACACGAGTCCTATCGGTCGTGGAAGTCAAGTGGTTGGCTCTGGGGGCCAAAGGGTTTCTAAATTCCTCCTTCGCGGTCCAACAAAACTAATGCGTTTAACATCGATACCGACCCTCCCTTTGCTGAACAAGCGTAAAAGTCGTTGATTTGTTTTATATATATTCTTGAAAACGAAGGTCCTGTGCCATGATAAATATTGGCCAATA